CGCCGAAGCCAAGACCTTGGCAACTGCGCCACGGAGTATTAGAAAGCAAGACTGTTGAAGTGTGCTTACGCCGAAGAAGCTTGAAAACTTTTTATAAAAATAGGGAGTTACTGCAATACATACGTTATGTTTTACAGTGCTTATCTCTGCACTTAAGATGTAACATTTAAATTTGTAAAAAAAATGGACGAATAGTTTGCTGCGGAAATATTACAATATTATTTCTACAAATATTTAATATACCTACATAAATTTTGAAAGTGTTAATTTTAACCGCGCCGATCTCGATAACGACATGCCCGATTAGTGGGTATGGTTTGTGTTACAAATACTTGTAGTAATTTCGTCTGAAAGCTGTTAAACCTGTCCGTGTGTGCTTTACCATGTTGAGGTTTCCTGTACCGACAGCTTGTGACGTCACACAATTTGACATTTTACGCTTTGGCACTGTGGTCTGTTGTGGTTTTAATTTGAAGGTTTTTGAACGGATCAACGGCCTTTTTCTAGACCTTCTTCTTCACCAGATCGAAATCCCTCTATTCAGGAGGTCTTTGCCCAGTAGTGGGACATGGCGACTTGTAACTTTAATGTTAATCATATATTATTTGCGAAGTATAAATGTAAGTTTATATTTAAATACTCATAATGAGAGAAATGTACATTTTTTTTAGATCTGACCAGCATATACGGTAGAAGGTTAGCAATAAAATAACATAAACCGTTATGGTTTACAGATTAAATCTCAAATAAAATAAATTACAAGCAATACAGGAAATGGGGAAAAATTATTCGCTTAGTAAAAATTCATTAATACCATTAAAACCTCGTTTTAACCGAACTCTTATCGCGCAGAGAAATCCCGACCATAGCCCATCAGTTCATATTTTTTTCAAACAATGCCCTTTCTTTAGGATAAAATTATCCTGTGTTGTAAGGACGTTCAAAATAATAAAACACCCAGATCCGACATAACTATCTGTGGGTCGCACAAATTGTTGTCCCGTGTGGAAATCGAACCCACAACACCCGACGCCGAAGCTCTTGGCAACTGCGCCACGGAGTCATCTGTTTATTGTCAAACTTCTGAATCCGAATTCCGTGAAAATGCGGGAATGTCGAACACACGCCTGTATATTAATTCTCGGACCAAGCAACAGTGTTCGCTGTTGCACGAATGGGCAGGTCCGTCCGGGTCCACGAGCTCACAGAAGACCGACGTCAAGTGGAATTGTTACACTTCTGCGTTTCGTCTGGTGAGTGAGGTAGCCGGGGCTAACTTTATTAAAAGGTGGCAACGCATCTGCAACCCTACGGGTGTTGCAAATGGCAATAGGCAGACGTTTATGACTTAACATCAGGTGAACCGCCGGCTCATTTGCCACTTTCTCACATAAAAAAAAAATAAACATTATTAGACATTTTCGCCAGTCACTTGCACTTTCCACGGGATGACTTGTGCCCACGCTTTCAAGCTCCATGCAATATACGATCAGTTCTGTTTTCCCCGCGAAAGATTTCCCCGGTTATGTTCAATGATAGGGCATTTTTTATAGTAATGTATTTAACAACCTATAACTTCCGCTACTCCAGTTTTGTTCTTCTTTAGATATCGAATAGGGCTGTCAGCACGCACTAGCCAGTCTCCGAAATATGGGACTTGTCGAAATAGGAGCGGAACTGTGGTAACCAATTGCAAATGCAACTCGACTAGGCCGCACCGCTAACGATATTCTGATGACTTTAAAACCATCTACCATTGGGCTGTCTTTGAGAAACCCACAATTATGAACGGTCGCTTCTTTTTAGCAATCCAAAAGAGGGCTAATCTTGTAATCGACTTGCTTTAGGAAATAGTAGAGTATAATTATTTTAACTACTAGTTTTTTTTTTTATATTAAAAATAAACATCTTAGATAATGAACATTTTCGTTTGCTTTTCACATTGTACAGATTCCGATAGAAATTGAAAATATTTTATAAATATAGCAATCGCTAGATACTTCAAACTTATATCTATTTTACAGACTTTATATTTAGGCACTTCTTTAAACATTCATTGTAACGTCAGGAACGTAGTTGAGATATTATAAGATAGAAAATCTTAAGTCGTGGACCGAATGAAAACTATAAAAATAATTCTAGTTACTAATTATAATCTGTGTCATTGTCACAATTAAAAGTTGTGAATAAGGCAAAGATAAACTTAACATTTTAAAAAACAATTATGCAAAGCCTACATTAATAAAAATCCTTTAAAAAATCATAATCAAGAGATTTGTTAAAATTAATTATTAAATGTAAACGAATAGTATTCGTACATTGATCAGCGTAAAGGTCTTTTTAAATTTTCTATACTTAATATGTTTCAATCACAATTAAATGAAATTGTGTATGTAACAAATTATACAGAACCCAGTTTTAGTAGTAATTTAATCGGTGTGTTACGGACGCTGGACGCGGACGCGTGTGACAATGCGCGGCGCTTGTTTTAATACAAAAAATACTGTTACCGTAAAACCGGTTGTGATTATAAAAAACACTAATTTTAACAATTGAACAAAACTGTACGTCGGAATGTGTTGTTTTGAACGAGTTTTTGGGCAAAAACTCGGGCCGTTTCGGTTTTGTGGTTCAGTATGTGCCCGTTTCAATATTCTATCTACAGATAGATTTTGTTACCAGCGATAGGTATTTCTCATTAACTCTACAATACTTACGTCAAAATTCAATCTCCTGTAACGAAATCTATCTGATTCAGATAGAATATTGAAACCGACCTGTTGGGCAGTGAATATCCCACAGAATGTCGGATACAGTACGACCTATGTATACAGGTTCTACCGGTGGCAGCAGCTCTCTTCTAAGTCTCTAGTTCTTCTAGTTCTCTTAACATAATTATATCCAGTACATGTCAATTTTTCGACTTCTTTAATTAGTACTATCAGTTTTACAGTTTAAGTGAACCTAATGATGTTGCCAGTCTTCGATTTACATTACGTTCTTTGATTAATATTTTCACCTGTTAACTGTATTAATCGAATTTATAACATCTATGAGATCTAGCGTATTCGGTGTACCTTCTTAGGACTAAAACATTTAATCTACTCAACTTCTACCACCGCGTCACCTGCCTGTATCATATCATATTACTAGTAATTTAAACAATAAGGGAATCCAATTCATATCCGTCCATTCAATAACTAATACGTAGATAACTGTCGTTTCCGTATTCAATCGTAAGTATTTCTGTCGAGTCATCATTTAACTGTTTCGGCGTTCGCTGCAATTTTTCAATAAACGTAAAAACACACACGCTGGTATGCAAGCGCGTCCGGAATCAGTGGCGTATCAACCACTAGTGTTTACAAACGCAGTGTTTACGACGGCGGTTTACAAATGGTATGAGATCCGGACGGATGCTTTAAGTGCGCGGGGAATCCGAGGATGGACAGCCAAGACTCCAGGAGCTCCAGGGCGAGCGACTCCCCAGGGGACACCATGAATGACGTCTACACGGCGTGGTGTGAGTGCCCTATTGAATAGTTTCACACTCTTACATAAATTGAGCTTCGGCGTGTGTGTTTGTGTAAATATAGACATGTTACCTAGTATTTTTGGAAACTCCTTTTTAAGAAATTCAAAAAACTAGCTAAAATTTAAATGCTTTTATAATAGCAGCAGTACCTACTGTAAGAGAGTTTTGATATTTTTGTAAAAAAAAATTCGTTCCATTTTTGTTTATTTATAGTAATTCTCCTTAACTTTCGACTTAAATAGATATTTCTACGTACATATTGAGTCCATGCTGTAAAACAAGCCAAGCTAGTCGTGAAACGTATTTTATCAAAAATTTTAAGAATAGTTAGATTTGTCATACTGTTTCAAAGTACTGTACGAATGGCATAATTATAGAAAGAGATGGAAAACCTGAAAAATTCCATCTCACTCATTCAAGCCAGTAAAACGTTCGTCCTTCATTACGCCAAACGCTCTTTCTAACGTCACACGTCTTTCACAACCGGCAATGGGCCGTCGACGCCGATTTCGTTCGTATCATCTGGCGGCAGAGTGCAAAATCGCCTGCACCATTTCCCGTTCACAATCGCGCATTGTTCGAAGACAATGAGATGTCAACACTCGTAAGGCCCGCGAATTGAATCCGTTCGGATGCCTGACCTGAAAATATAATACATTTGTTGGGCAACGCCGAATTTGTCGGCCAACTGCGACCTCTGTTCAGAACGGTCGAAATCTCTCTTTGGGTTGTCCGTTATATTCAAATGGTCTGCTGACGCTCAAGAGAATGAGACATGCAGAGGAAGAGATAAAAGACAGTTTATTTCAGAGATGAAGAGTTGGAGAGGCAACAAGACGTAGAACAAAACTTGTTAACTTGCTTAACACAAGATTGGTTGCAACAAAAACTTTAAATTGCAACATATAGAAATAATCAATTTCAATAATAAGGCCATTCAAGATAGAGTTCAAAAGTGAAACATTTTTTTTTGCGTTACGATATTTCTTTCAAAATTTACCTGATCAATTTGCAACGACAACGGTTCAATGACTACTGCCGCGAACTAATTTACAAAGGCATCGTATAAGGACGCAATTATTGTTTTTACACCGCTGGACTGTACAGTAAACGTCACAGCCACAAGAAATTATTAGACATGTATAGCCGTGATACCTCAGTGTCTGGGCGTTCGCCTTTAATTCAAGATACTCGAGCAACTTGAGTTCGATCCCCGGTGCCGGAACTTAAATGTTAATTTTAAGTGCCGACTTATCAAGCGCTCGTGAGGAAACCTGTCTATTTTCGAAGTAGTAACAAAAAAATGTTTCTAAAATGTGTGCAGTCCGCCAATCCGCAGTGGGCCCGCGTGGTGAACTATGCCCTGATACCTTCTGTACAGAGGAGGCTGTTGCCCAACAGCGGGACATGAATAGGCTGTTACTTTGCTATGGTGCATACTGAAGACAGCTTGCTCGGTTTCCAGATGAGATGCTAGAAGGCGAGGGCGCGGGGCTGGCTGCCCGGGTCGCCGAGCTGGAGGTGCGGTGCGCGCGCCAGGCCGAGGAGTTGCTCTGTCTCCGCTCGACCCTCGCCGACGCCCTGCGACGCCTGAACGCCCTCGAGGGCCGCGCCCCGTCCACTACACAGAGGAACGGCGCATACACAGGTGAGTTGCACGGATCCATACGACCTATGCCCGGTACGGTACGAACCCGTTAGTTACATAACTTCGTAGCTTTCATAACGACTCGTTGTAACGAGTTCATAATGACAATGTAACTAAGATCGTTGCATATAGGAACCGGGCTTTAGGGAGCTTGAAAAAGAGAGCCTACTCCTACCTCAGGTGCCGGCAATGCAGTTGTGACTCCTCCGATGTTTGAGGTGTCCATTGATAGCGGTGATCACTTACCATCAGGTGAACAGCTTGCTCGTTTGCCTCCCTTTTCCAAGAAGTTTTTCAATTAGACTAAGAAATATATAGAAGTAGCCTTGTCGTTTCTGGTGAATCAGGTAACCGTGAAGTCCATGAGCAGAGGTAATTACATATAGAATGAGAAACGGCCTCTTGCTGTGGCCGTTGAAATACACGACTTTATAGGCCCGAACACTACATGTAATATCGGACTGCGTTCAAAATATGACTGGTGTTGACGTCACTTGTTAATTTTTCAACAATAAAATTCGATTAGAAATGTGATCAACTATCCCTCATAATTTACAGACAAAGTGCCACTGCAAACTTAACGCGTCGGCAAATACAAAGTCAACTCAGGACCAAAACCAAATTAATTTTATCGGAAAATTTCACATCAATCGCATTGCCACTACTTTGTCACTGTTTCATTATTCTTCTCGATACCAACGGAGGTCGTTGACCCCTTTCCCCCCTCATTTCAGGTTCAACTGGCACTCCCACACGAGAGGTGCGCTTAAGACAGCCCTCGTACCGGGAAACAGCCAAGAGGACTTCGAGCTACGGCTCGAGTACCTCGTCGCTTCCACAGAGGTGATTAGTTCCTTTGAAACTGGTACTAAGCATTTGGAGCCTTGTAGAGCAGTAAACACTACTCTGTGGCTTCGTGATCACTGGCAACTCCAGCTTCTATAGTAATTCAAAATATCTTTATTCACATAGACGCTTGCGCGTTCTTATGAAACGTCAAAATTTTACATAAAAATTAGGTAATTCTTTCGTAAGTAAGTTACTACCTAACTAACCACCTCTAACCACCTAACAGCCTATACACATATTTTTCTGGGCAAAGGCCTCCGTTTAGAGGGTATTAGGGTATAGTCTACATTGGCAAACTTAACATATCTTTGAAATTGTGATCTTTGTTATTATTTCGAAAATATGCAGATTTCCTCACGATGTTTTCTTTCACTGCCGATAAGTCACCACTTAAAATTATAATGAACAATTTCACTGGTGCTGGCGACGGGAATCGAATTCAAGTTACTCGAGTATATTTAATTATAAACGAGCGCCCGGACACGAGCTACTCGTATCACTACTAACTGCGTACTATCAATATGCAATTTACCAAGTGCAGTCTACGTAACAACAATCTGGAGCTATAATTTGATACATCACCTTAGATAAGGTTGACTGGTAGAAAATGCCTTTGGCATTAAGTCCGCCTAGATTGTGCATAAAGTGTAAATAAATAAATAACGTCACTGCTTTGTTGTTAGGGTAGTATTCCAACAGTGTCAAGGCTTTGAGTCAGAAATAGGGTAACGTTAGAATGCGTCCAATCCTCATTTTCAATTGGTACTAACTAATGCTTTACTATTATCACACCTAATGTTACGGAGGGGTAGTAAACTCATAAGCTTAGTATAACCTTAATCTGTCTTACCTTGAAGACATCCACTTTGTAACTGCATAGCAAAGCGACTTCTTTAGCTTTGATATTATGAATGGTCAGGTTTACCTCTTCCTACGAATGCGGGTAAATGCTGACATTTGTATATAACTAGTTGCTGCCCGCGACTACGTCTGCGTAGAATAGGTTGAAGGCGTAACATTCAGACAGAAAGATATATATACATAACAATATGTATACAAATTATAGCCTTATTATTGTCTTATTATATTATATTATGTCTTATTCTGATGTATAAGCTGTATTATTGTAAAGTTTCATTGGAATCCATTCAGTAGTATTTGCGTAAAAGAATTACAAACATCCATCCATACATACACACTTTCGCCTTTATAATATTTGTAAGGATTGCTGATAACAACAACAATTGAATTATAGTTCCTGCGTGAACTTCCGAAATGTAGCTGTCTTTAGAAATCCAAGAAGTAAAGAGACTTTGCGCCTGTACCCAAACTAGCCGAATGGATAATGCCGTATAAGAATACATTTCTTCAGCGGATTGTTAGATGGAAATCGCTAAACAATACAAGTAAAAACGTTATTCAACTCCCAAACAAAAGACATTGAACAATTGTCACATATAAGTACTTAAAATAGTAAATACTTTATAAGTATCGTGTTCTATTGTCGTCTCTTTAGTCCATCTTTAGAATTGGGTCATTGTCGTACAAATCTCAGTTTTCCATTGTAAGTTGTTCTCGTGTATAAATCCCACGACAATACAATAATAGACAACGACCTTTTGCCATAATGTCCTCTTGGATCACTGCTCAGTGGCCGGTCGATTTTCAATACAGTAGAGTCAACTAGAGTTCAAATTTCATGGTACCAATGTATTTGTTGTATGAAATTTTAAATACTGATTGATTTACTACGTGCTTGGCGGTTTAAAACTTCGTGACGAAAACTGCATAATTATGTAATTCAAAAGTTAACAATTACTTCAAAGATAATAACGTTAATCTGTCAGTCTGCAGTGAGATCGTAGAATATGGGCATATGTATTTAATTAATAATGGAATACGGGTATATTTATGCCCATATTCCATTAGTAAATAATGTGCTGATTAGGTGAAACTGTGGCAACGCAACAGTTTTCTCTGTTGCACGAATGGGCAGGTCCGTCCGGGTAAGTACCACGACCTCGCAGAAGACCGGCGTAAAGTAGAAGTGTTGAACTTCTGCGTGTCGTCTGGTGAGTGAGGTAATCGAGGCACACTTTATTTAAAGGTGGCAACGCATTTGCAACGCGTGTTGCAAATGTCCATGGGCGTCGGTTATTACTTAACATCAGGTGAATCGCCAGCTCTTTTGCCACCTTATCACACAATTGAGCATATAGAAGAACGGCATAGAGCGGAAGAGTGTAGGTTTTGGCGTGACGTGAGAGATGCGATTGGCCAGCATTACTTGAGATTAGTAATGCAACGGCTACCCCAAAGATTGTCTATGTCGCAGTTGCCAAAAATCGGCATTTGTGCCGAGGGTCGTCGACTCGATTCCTACATAACTATTTGTATGACACACAGATGATTTTTTTGGATCTGGCTGTTTGTCCTCGTGAAATTTAGGTATGTAATTTTTTTTTGTTTTTTTAAAACATTGCCCTAACTTTAGGATAACATTATCCTGTTTTATAAGGACCTTTTACAAACATAAATTTCACGTGGACAAATACTCAGATGCGAAACAACTATCTGTGGGTCACACAAATAGTTGTCCCGTATAGGGATCGAACCTACGATCCAAGACGCCTAAGCCAATACCATGACAACTGAGTCATCAGAAGTTATTATTAGACTGAATACAGAATTATCCTACAATATGGGAGGTGGTTTTGAAAAAGAAAAATATTTTTTTTCATAATTTAATATTTCTTTTCTTTTTTACTCTAATGAAAATCATCTGTTTTCCAGTTACAAGCTAGAAACTTTGAGCTCTCGTGTCTAATCAGTTACTTCTCCAACCAGACGCGGTCCCCAGCACCAGTCTACAGGGTCTCTGCAGTCGGATTCTCCGGCATCCTCGTCTTCGCTGTCTCCCGCCCCATCACCCTCGCCGCGCGCAACACCCGCGCCCCACCTGGCGCACCCTCCCCAACCCTACAGGTATGCTCGGCCACTTAAGCATACCTGTCATTTCTTAGACGATGGCATGCTTGTCAATTCCGCAGAGCACGTTTATCTATAGGCATATATTGGCGTGGTCGCAAAGGCATGCTGCGGTATGTTTAAACAACTAGGAACGTTTGCCGCACTAGCGAGTATACCAAAACACTTGTTTTGTTCATTATTATCCTTTAAAGACTTGCAAAGACGTATTCCACATAACAAACAAACAAGTTTAACACTTTTACTGTTATACATGCTTCATTGAAATGCCAAAAATATAATTAAACAGAAAAGAGATCGCAGTATGAAACAATACGCATTTCACAAAACTGATTAGAGGAGAACTGATTACACGGCTATCTTCTAATCGCATCTAGAAGTCACAGCACGCAGACAATGAATAAGAAGTGTGCTTAAGATGAATCATCAATAAAGATTGGCACATGATTTATTTGTGTTATATTGTGTTATGTATTTATTTGTGTTCCTATAGAAACAAGTACATATTCTTGAAAGTAAATGACTGTCCGAATAACAGGGAGAATCTTCACTTATGTCATTGGTTATGCAGAATAAGCTTAATTATTTTCTTATGAATAGTCCCATACCGGTTTTTGTTAGACTTTTATGACTGGAAAACTGAAACATAAAATATCTATATGAGGCGACAGACTTCATACGACATTACTCTCCGAATATAGCACGTCCCTAAGCTTTATAATAAGATAATAATTGTTTTTACAATTGATAAAAAATATTTGCTAATAAATAGAACATGGCAGTTCTGTTTACACTTGCCAGAAGTGTGTGTGCGTGTATTCAATATATAATCGCTTATGTATGGTGTGTGTGTGTGTATATGTTATACCTGCTTTTTTGCAACCTTTTGATTGATGATAAAATGCGTTTATTTTGTAAATGATTGAATGATCAAGTAACAAAGAATCGAAGTATCTGTACTTGAATGTATCCTCGCTACAGAAATTTTGATATCAAATGCTATTTACACCACGTAATAATTCCAACATAAGGTATACTTATCATTTTCTTATTATTAAGTATTAGTATTAATTGTTTTAAACGAATTGGTAATGTTTTTTCCTTACACGTACATCAGATCAAAATCTATTATGCTTGATACCAAGTTTCGGTTGGCCGCGGGAGTTATCACAACTTTGTATGATTAAACCGACTTTATTGTTTCCGTAAATGCTAATAATAATCCAAAGCAACTCTCTGTTAAAATCAAAGACTTTTTTTGCAATTAGGCTCGTATATAGTTACGTACAAAGCCCTAATAACCCTCATACTTAGTATTGAAACACCCCGTAGAAATTTATATCTTTAGTGTTCCAATGCATTTTAAACCAGTAAGCGATAGAAAAGTCTCCAACCATTAGATATTCAGCATTTTTTTACGATTACTCATTATTACGATGACAATTGAAAAGTATTTATGAATGAGACACTCAGAAAAGAATAAAATACTACCAACAAATAGTATATAACATGCGGTGTGATATTCCTTATTGCATAAACATGGCACATTTTCTATCGTTTAGAGGGTTTTATAATATACTAGTATAGTATTATATACTAGTATAGTATAATATATACTAGTATAGTATATTATATACTAGTATAGTATATTATAGTAGGCATGCTTCTAAGGTATTGCGAAAAGAACGATTCCAAGGTCGAATTTGATTCCAGACGCGAAAAACTAATTGTGTTAGTTAGAAGACTATTGAAAATATTTTTTTCTGGTCATTTACAGTAAGCACATTACGATTATATACACACATACATTAGGGTGTTTTCCATCTTTCACGTACATCTAAGTTTTTAAAATATGCAATACGCTTCACAAACTTGGTGCTTTGTAATTTAGTCACAGTTTTAAACCCATCTTCAAAACCAATAACTCTTAAAATTTTATCCAAAATTGATCTATGTTAAAAAGCTATTGAAATTTTTATTTCTTAACTTATGAGGGAGTATTTGTAATTTTTTATTTTTTTATTTTAATCATAAATTTTAATAAAACGGCTTAAATAAAATATCGTGGTTCTTAATCATTGGTGTCGACTAAAGCCTCCTTTGAACTCGGTAATAATTTTATTAAGTAATGCCTACAAATTTAATACATCATTGACTCTGACCAGTTCAATACAACTTGAACATTTACGAACTTGTCGCTTGCAATGAACTGTCATCTACATTTTAAAACAAAATTACCCGCCAATCATCTCGAGATTAAATTTAACGACTGATTAAGAACATTAATAACTCAATAGCGTTGTCATCCATTTAACTTTAACCCGTTGACTCTTTAAACTCAGGAATAAACATATAAATATTTCAGGACATATTTACTGTACACAATGTTATCTAGTACCACTCTAAGCAAAGCTTTTACTATGTATGTATACTAGGTAACTGATAAACATACTTAAGCATACTTTTTTGTAAATTAATACATATTATAGATTAACAAACACTCAAATACTAGGAAAACACTATGTTCATCACACAATATTTGTCCAGTAGTGGGGATCGAACCCACACCCTCTGACGCATTAGACAGATAAACTACACCAATCGGGTAGCACTTAGCTTTCAAATTTAGACTTACAGCATTGTACGACCGAGTCGAGTGTTTTCGCAACGCCTTATCGCAGACCTTGTAGGCTTTGAAATCCGTTAGATCGCGCAATAACTCTACCTCGAGCAACCAGAGCGCGTCTCCGGGGAACCTCACGAAGAGATGGAACTCCACCGGCGACTTCAACGCCCAGGGTCTTATTGCCAACAGCAGGTGAGTCCCCAGTCTCCACAGTAGTTTCCTGGTAGCACACATCGTTTGTACCCGCCTCTAGGATAACCCATGGCGGTATCAACACAAGAGGAGCGACGATATTTCGACACCCAACAGTGTATCGAATTGACATTTTTACTATATTATGCTCCCAAGGAGTGTTGATGTTAGCAGTATTAACGTAGACAGACGGAGGGTCATAAAAACATAGCCAAAACAGCTTACAACATGATTCACATGCTGTGACGACCCCACCTAGGTGAGTTAAGGGCAGGAGGATGATGACTATATGTCATGCGATACACCCATGCTAACGCCCGGTTTCTGAAACACTGATCATCGTCGATGTCAACTAATCAGTTGTCAAATGGCTTTAAAATTTAATTTTAGTTGCCAAAAGGATGGTTCAACTCTCTGAATTGACCAGAATGATCAGAATGATCAATTCAAAGAGTTTAACTATCGTTTTGGCCACTCAAATGACATTTGAAAAGCCATTTGACAGCTGATTAGTTGACCTCTACGATGATCAGTGTTCCAGGAACCGAGCGTTAGAGTCGTTATGTAAGATTATATACGCCATAATCAGAGACATTAATTCCCATGGACTGCGAAGTTTAAAATTAACTCTAAACTTCCCGAAGGGATGATTGAATGCCATTTAATCGCTGATTGAAATCTCTGAGAATAACTTTAATGTCGCTTTAAACTGTTGACACTCCTCTAAAATTAATCTCTCAATACTAAAAGTCACTTTTGCACGGGTAACACTGGTGGACGGTACTGATCTAGCGACGCCATTGCATACCCCATGTCACCTAAAATAAGTTGCACATTGAAATTAAATTATTACCGATGATTTAATCCGAGTTATATTTGCAAATGGAGCTTATGCTAAATTATTGAATTTAAGTTACTTTTGATTTAGAACTATAAAGCAAAAAGTAAAAAATGGTTACATTTTCTTCTCAATACTTATACAGAAAACGAATTATGGTTGGTAATTTTTTGTAATGTTACTTTTTTGTATGCTTCATATTTTTTTCACTCTTGTGATATTTCAATAGTATTGGAAATATGGTAAGTTCTCCAAACTTAATGGATAAAATTATATAGATTGCTTTGCGTAAAACATTGACTATCATTTCGACATAATGAGTTAATTAGTTTTTTTTTTTTTCATAAAGCCAAGATACCGTTATTGTTTATACTTACCTTTTTTGTTTGCCAATCTTTGCAAATGACTTTTTCCCTGCTTTTCCTCGAGTAAAGCTTATCAACTGAAATAAATAATTGAAAATAAAAAATAAAAGAATTGTTAAATAAAATTATGTTTGGTCTCGCCCTTCTTTGAACAATGACTATTTTGGTAACAAAATTTTATTCTAGATTCTTCCTCATCACACCATGCATTAATTTCTTCTAGATGTTCTCCGTGCCCTAGATTAGCGCTTCACCAGTCCTCGTCAACCTCTAACTTGTCTTTCTGTCCGTTCCATAGATTCACGACGACAAAGTCCTTGCTAAATTTGTATTCTAAGGCGCCGCAAAACGGACCCATTTTGAAGCACGGGTAAGTCGATTCCACGGTATCGGTGCTGGTGATGGGTTCGGACCTGTAACGCTTTTGGTGCTTGTGTACTAACAAAACGTATTTTGGTGGTTAACAACTTGGTACGAATTAAGTGTCCCGGATTAGCGCGGACCATGGTAATGTGGCAGTTTTTTTTTGATAGTCCCTTTTTAAAACGGCTTCCGTTCTAATAATTATTAAATTATTAAATAGTTCTAATAATATTAAAGTAATTCTCGTGTGGCCGGTGGTTACTGAAACATCAAAATCGTGGACGCGACGATCGCCAATGGATATTTTTACTCGACTCTACGAGTAAACAGGAGGTTGAGGGCGTTCGCAAAAACGAAATGTTTTTAGTTCGCCATCAAATGAATGTTAACAGATAAGTAGAGTAAAAATTTGCATAATCATTTCGTATTTATAATAAAATAGAAAAACCGGTAATAGATAAATCTAAATCGCAAAAAGATATTTTGGCTTATTATTATATTATTACTCGTATTATTTTTCAAAGGTGTTTTTTATAGGAACGCCATCTATAATCTTCATCAGATTTAATGATTCAAGCACCATTTTAAAGCTTATGTTTGCGCTATTGACGAGAAAAATAGCAATAGAATAAAATTAATGGTTTCATTAAAAAAAACCCATTCGTTTAAAAACTTCAAGAACTTATGATAGTGCCATCTATTGAGAATTTGTTTAAATAAAAGATAACAGTAGATTTTTATATATAAGTATAACTCTTGAATACTTGCTATTGCTTATTTATACATAATTATGACAGGGATGCGATGCGTCACTATTACTTACCGGATGACCCGTAACTCCCATAAGTGCGACAGAGAACGCAGCATGTTTGACATTTGTATAGTTAACTTTTGTCTAAATCAAAAGTTGTGGCTTAACCACAGATTTACTTCCAAATTTAGTATTGAACTGTTCAACAGAGCTATTGTGAACACGCCTCAACGTTTCGATTCAACAAGACATGTACATGCCGACTAGTAATAAATAAATAATTATTTCAGGTCATGTCTTTATACAAAGTTATCTTGTCCCGAAATAAGCAAAGCTTTTGCTATGGGTATCAGGTTTTACTACTTTTTTAAATAAATACATACTTATAGATTATGGACATCCAGCCACTAAAAAAAACATTCTGTCCCTCCCAAAAAATTCATCAGTAGAGAGGATCGAACCAACACCAACTAATCCACGGAAGAGATCAAGGGTCTCTATCGCAAACCGGGTCAAGAAATTCTTCTCTCACCCTCAGCGCAATGTTCAAGGGCTCTTCTTATTTTAAAGCTTTTTAAGGCAAAACTTTTATGTCTTTTAAAGTTTCGAAATTTTCGAAACTACACCCACTGTCACTGCAAGATACGATTGTATATATTATATGTGTTGTATTGTTTTATAAAGTACAATATTATTTACTAAAGTATTTAAATCGCAAAAACTGGAAAACTGCGTAACGAGAAATACCTGTTTCAAACAGTGAACAGAAAAGTTACAAATTCTGCAAATAAACATACAGGGATGTAATATTTAAAGTGTTACACGATTAGCTATTTTAAATAACGCGAGAGAACTCTGTGGCGGAGTTGCTAAGCCATTAGCATCGGCATCAGGGCTCGTGGGATCGATTCCCACACGGGACAAGTATTTGTGTGACCCGTAAACGATTGTTCCGGATCTGAATGTACGCTCCCAAGAGGGTTTGTAGCCAAGCAAGACCATTAACAACATCATTCACATGTTGTTACCCACCTCGGTGAGTAAGGGCAGAAAAGGAACTATGTGAGGTGAAAAGCGGATAGGTACCTAGTTTACATGATTTCAAGTGATTACGCCCACCCATAGAATATGGTCAGGATGGACAGGCAGAGGACACAGGTGTCGTCTTCATAAGCTTCGGCATCCGTTACACCAATGAACCAATGAAACACACAAATTGTCCGTCGACTCAACGTCGGTATTCGGTATGTAAAAGAAAAAGAATATCATATCTATTGCTGAAAAACAAAACTTTTAAACCGTTAACATACAACATAATGAATATATAAATTTATTAACAATCAATACATGTGTAACAAACTGACAGGCTGACTATTGCCAGCCTGTCAGTTTGTTTATACTAATGTATACACCATTTTTTGTTATACCTCGAACTACCTAATAATATACCTCGATAGATAGGATAAGAATGTTATTAAGTAATTTACGTTTAATTTCGTTCAACTTACACAGAAAAGGCGGGAGACAGCACAAGTACGTTGAATTAAATGTTGTAACAAATAATAATTTATTTATATTATACCTTTTAAAATACGTTTAATTTATCTATCAACCAATTAAATATCAACCAAAAAATATTACACGCTTGTATATTCACCGTGATTCACAAGAAATCTTAACAAACCTACGAGGTTCCTAAACAAAATTTTATTAGGCTTTATTTGCTTATCATCTGTTACATAAACTTTCTTAAACTTAGGTCTCTCTCTTTATTTATATAGTTACATACGAGTAAATACATACGTTAGTCTGTATTATCACGCATTATATACACTTATAAATTCCGCTTAATTTCAAATTTAGTCAAAACTTATCATAAACCTTTCAAGTCCGCAGCCAACATATCCAAACCGTAAAAGATATCGAAATATAGAGCGCGATTTTCTGATATGTGGTATATTATCATGATTCATGTTATAGTCTGTGGTCGACGCGCTATAATATGCTATACCAAATGACCTATTTCTGTATCACTTGAAAACCTTTTATGACCAGTAACACCATTGTCGGCCGGTTATGTAGTTTTCCTTGTTAACATCCAGTTTCTGTGTAGAGCGACGTCATTTTTTTACGTGAACAAATGATTCACAGTATGCAATCGTAGGGACATAAACTAATCTTTCGAACACACCTTCACTGTAAACATATTCAACCGCGTATAGACCGAAGAAAACCGTACGGCGTATGTTACTGGCTCAGTTACACGGGACATGATGAGCGTATCATTCAAAGCGTCAATGGTTGCGGCTGTACAATAAAGCCCATAAACGTCTCGCTACCAGCGCGCATTCAATTGCCCTCTGCGAACGCGCAGTTCGCGGTCGCTTTTGGCACTGGCTGTACGACTCGCGTCAGAGCCGCGGACCGGTTTAAAAAAAGTTAAAACGACTCATTCGACTCCGATTCCATTGCAAGTTTTTAATAAAAAAAAAGACGACTGTCATTATTTTGGCGCCATGGACGACAGGTAAAAAAATTGTAACGAAATGACGTAATAGTTATGAATAATTTATGAGATTAGATAACGATAAACGCTTGTACTATTTTATTTTAGATTTGTTTGCGTGTAGTCTTCACTCCGTACCGTAGTCTGTCAGTCTGGTTTTTGGGAGCTCGCAGTGTGGGCGTGTTTTTTTCGCATATATCCAGTCAGATTTTTTAATCTGTTAGAGATGTCATTCACCCCGGTGTAAGTGGATGCATTTGCTGCGAATGTGAAATGCTGCACCTTTACATCTCTGTTCATTTACAAATAAGTAATAAATGAGATATCGTATGCACTTCCGAAATTGATGGGATATTTTTTATTATTATGGCACATTTTTTATTATTATTTTTACAGAAAATATAATTTTAACAATGTAATTTAATTATAAATTTTGCAATAAATCATGCTTGCTTTTTCTTGCTCATAATTTTATTTAATTAATTGGCAGCGTATATTTTGTTTTATTTACACAACATTTTGCACTAATTATAGCATGAAAGCTTATAAAACGCACAGAATGTGGTAAAAAGGCAGCATCTTGATAAACGAGTTGCGCTTTCGAATTACCTACTAACACACTTTACGCACAAAATCATTTCATTAGTGTACTTGTGCACATAACATTTTGTGTTGTTTTTGACTCATTTTGATTTCTTTTAACCACTTTTGTACTTCTTATTTAATAGTCATCGTTATGTATTCTTAATCTGCAAAAACCAGTAACCCTTTAGTATTAAAAACCTTAATTAATAGAATATATTTTCATAATTTGTATAATTGTCTAGAGAAGATAAATAGTGACTTTTTGCGGAATTTTTTTTTAAGGAAAATGCACGCATGAGCAGCACGCACACCTGTCAGTACAATGATGAGGAGGGAACTATGCGCATGTTCCTGCGCGGGCGACCCGTGGTCTTATACGGCCCTTCTGACCAGGATGGATTGGACCCCGCCAAGGTGGCGCCACCGCCGCACAGCAAGCTCAAGCTGGAGTGGGTGTACGGATACAGGTCAGTGCAGTACTGTTATGGCTTATTAGTAGGAAAAAATGCTGCCACAATATCATCATCACGTATGATGATGCATCAGTCTAAGGCTTTCCTCTGTAAGTTTTACTTTGCCACAACTTCAGCCATAAAATACAGTGGTAGGGCCACGTAGCAGCGTCGCCTGTTGCACGAATGGGCAGGCTCGTGAGGGGAAATACCACGGCCGAGAAGTAGAATGTTTCTACTATCGCGTTTCGTCTGATGAATGAGGTAACCACGGCCCATTTTTTAAGGTTGTCAATCATCTGCAAACCCTAAGGTGTTAAGAATAATTTACTTAACATCAGGCGAACCGCCTGCTCGCTTGACATCTTTTCACATTAAACAATATAGTCCAACACGCGACCCCACCGCGAATTAGCGAAATTCACATAATTTCGAAATATTTTTTTATTATTATTTCGAAAATACGCAAGTTTCCCCACGATGTTTCCAAAACTGCTGAGCACGTGATAATTAAGCACGTAAAATTGCAACCAAAAATTTCAGTGTACCGGGATTTGAACTTTGGACACAGCAGTCGCGGCAATATACCATAATTGTGTATGATCAAAATGTATTCCTCTGAAGAGGAATAAAGATTTAAGATAGCAAGACAATGAATGTATTTTTAAAATGTTCATAAACTTCTCAATCTGTGGGCAAGGATCCCTCGGAGCATTCTGCTTCTAACTTTTTCTTTCGGTCATATTTTTTTTATATTGTGTCCATTTTGTAATTCCTATTCACATCAATTATTATCAAGTAAGTGTCATGACCATCGTAATGATGATGGAACTAAAAATCGATACACCGATACCGTTTGCGATGGCGTGCCAATGGTGCGTTATGTTCAAATATGTTATTGTTATGTTGAATATGAAATGATATGATTATATTGAAATTTCATTTAATGTTGATTATTTAAATTGGCTGTTCATTATGTTTATCGCATAATGAGGAATAATGCCCGCTGTGATACTGATTGTTAATTATAGTCAACCGTGACTAATGTTCAATTAGTTAAAACAACGGTACTAAATTATTGTTTGAATAAATTTTGTACAAAAAAGTTCATAATATGTGAAAGGTTTATAAGGCTGGCAACTCGTTTTGGGATTAGTTGTGAACGTCCATAGGCTCCTATCGCTGTTTGACGGCTGGTTATATATTTATTAGAAAAAAAAAACTTTTCCCCCTGAGATAGAGTGCGAATCGAATCAGTGAAAAAGAACTTTTTTTTTTTTATGTGAAAAGTTGCAAACGAGCAGACGGTTCACCTGATGTTAAGTGAATACCGCCGCCCATAGGCATCTGCTACACCCGAGGGTTGCAGATGCGTTGACAACCTTTTTGGAAATTGGGCTCCGGCTACCTCACTCACCAGACGAAAAATGCGAGAGTATTTATCATACTTCCACTTTACGCCGGTCTTCTGTGAGGTCGTGGTACTTGCCCGGACGAGCCTGCCCATTCGTGCAACAGCCGAGGCTGCCGCGTGGCTCTACCACCGTAAAACTAACCTTGAAAAGCGTTAAGCTCATGACTAATCAATAATTCAGACGGTTGTCCGTTGAATTTAAATTACGTAATTGGCCTTAGCTATCATTCACGAGATAAAATGTTAAATATAATTCACTTACGCCTAGTTTCTGAAACACTGATCATCGTAGATGTCAACTAATCATCTGTCAAATGGCTTTTCAAATCTAATTTTTTTTTTCAATCGGGGGCGAAAAATCAATCTAGCTAGGTTTCATTTTCAGAAAATGTCCTTCTAACCCTGTTTTCAGGGAATGAAAAATATTATTCGAATATGACGGTAAATTTCGCCGCAAAAAAAAATGTTATCATAGCTCTGTCGGTAATCGGGCGGCCCCAAAACAGACGGCCGTGGTTCGCGTCACCATCATTCACACATTTATTTTTTTACTTTTTTTTTTTCGATTCCAGATCATTGCTTTCTTTATTTTTAATTGTTTGTCGATTTCTTTTTTTGTTATTGTTTTCCCTTTTTTTTAAAGTTCTTTTGAGAAAAAAATCAGTTCATATTTTCTTATTATTAAGTCGGTAAGCTCGAAAAATATTATGAATATTTCATTACTCAGTAATTTGTATCTAAATGTAATTTCCTAAAAAAAATCTAAAAAAAATAAACAAACCGAGCAAAGCTTGGTCCTCCGGGTACTTTCAATTTAGTTGCCAAAAGGATGGTTAAACTATTTGAATTGATCATTCTGATCATTAAGAAGATCAACTAAAATGAAATTATAACTAAGAAACGATGATCAGTGTTTCATAAACCAGGCTTTAATATTAACTAAAGAAAACAAACCAGGCTTTAATATTAACTAAAGAAAACAATGTCAAAAAGGACATATAAATATAGTTGATAGAATACACGGTCCCCAAAGAATTGTTGCATGTTTCATAACTAAAAATACAACTCTCTCTATATTCATTAAACGGTATTCATCATACATTACTTACATGCATTCAATTGAAATATAGCACGACCGTAAAATGTCATGGAATTTCCCTTGCGACCCTCGGTAGTTGTTTAAAAACAAAATTTCGAGTCTAATTAACTCATGGACTTTAAACCATTCGACTATCATGATAAGTTCTCAATTACTTTATTTACGGGATCGGTCGCTTATTCTTTACACTTATCATCCAGTTATCTAAGATCAAAACGAGAAACTGCGAGAAAAGTAAAGTACAAAATGAGACATTTGTTTTTCACGTTTATCCTTTTTCTTATGTTAGAAGGTGCCAAGCGAGCCCGGCTCACTTGATGATAACCGTCTAAAGTGATAACCGTCGCCCGTGGACATTAGCAACCCCGTAGGGTGGCAGATGCGTTGCCACCTTTAAACGTGGGCCCCGGCCACCTCACTCCCCAGACAAAACGGACGAGTATCTCGTGCTCTGTCTCTACAATTCCAACTTGATGCCTTTAGGTTGCAACCCTACATGATAGTCTGTTGGTCATAAAACATAACAAAAATGGACCCCTTAAAAATCTATGACCATAACTAAACCATGGCTTGTAAATCTGTTTGGAGTTTTCAAGTGAGGAGTGACTTAGGTTTACAGCACTTCCACCAGGTTGTACAGAAGTCTAGCACTGCTCCCTGAAACGCCAGTACCTGAGACCCAAACTTTTCAATTTCACCGTGCCTCCAATTATTTTAAGCCGAAATTATTTCAACGACTACGATGAAAAGGATCACGCTCGATCCTAATAATCGCCTGAGTATAAAATTGATAATGACTTGATACTCAAGTATACGTACATGACTATGTACGTATACTTGACTAGTAGTAGACTACTAACTTACTAAAGGTGCTTAACTTTGACATAAGGCGGTTGAGTGTTATGTATTCTTTGATTCGCGGGACACAATTTACGGTCATGAGATTTTTCGCCTGGTTTCCGATGAAGTAAGCTGGTTTATATCACATTTACAGTTTCTAAAACACTCAATGTAGATTAACAGCCATTTGACAGCTGATTAGTTAACATGTACGATGATCGGTGTTTCAGAAACCGGGCGTTAGTCATATATATCACTCATCAATGCCGAAGGTGTCTTAGATCGAAAAATGTTGTCTAATTTATATTAGTGTTCATTGAAAAACAATTAAATGTCATAGTCACTGCAGTCATGTTTCTCAGACTTAGGTTATCTGAAAATACTACTTCTATCACTATAAAAAACTTATTGTATTCTCGAACGGCTTAACTTTAATACGTTATCTTCTGTAAACAAATCGAATAGATTTCAGTGTATTCTTTACACGGAAACGTTCTCATCTGTTGAGTCTAACCAGCTGTAGTAAATTGTCGTCCAACTAAATGTCATTATCCAATTTACCAATTGGCCAGTGTCAAGAGGAAGGCATAATATGCACGTCGCCACCTACATTTGCTCTTCAAAATGGCAATGTCACAGAATGACGAAGACGCTGCCTTTTCGCTGACAATTAAAAGTAATTATAATGGTTATCCGTCGCGCCATTGAATTTTACGAGCTTTTCGTAATTGTTTGGGGACATTATAACCGTACAAAGTATAGTATACCCAATAAAATGCCTCGTACTAAATATTTTTTTCAACTAAAACATGTAAAGTAAGTAAAGTATCAGGCTATACATGTCGATGGATGCGGGTGGCTCAGGATCGTACTTCGTGGCAGTCTATGGGGGAGGTCTATGTTCAGCAGTGGACTCGAACAGGCTGAAATGATGATGGCACATGTCCCACTGCGGATTGTCAGATTTTGTTTGACATACCTTTGAAATATTTTTCTTTTGTTTTTATTTCGAAAGTATGTATGCAGATTTCCTCACGATGTTTGCCTACACTGGGTACACGCGATACGTCAGCACTTCACTGACACCAAGATTTGAACTCGGGTTGCTTCAGGATAATTAACTGAAAGTGAGCCAACCGGATACGGCTATTTAATTATATAACATGTATTTTACTAATTTTATCGATATTTACGGATATATCGCATTTATTTTTAATTTCTGTTCCCGGTCTACAAAATACAGACTGGAGCGTTACACGTCTGAATTTCATTGTTAATCCGGGCTACCGTCAATTTTTAAAATTATTAATTTTGTTTTCGATCTATGTATAAGGTGCTGATTAGGGCCACTGGGGTAGGTCCGTCCGGGTACCTACCATGACCTGTCACGGTTGTGTCCGCGATTTTCATGTTTGCTTTAAAAAGCAAATAAATAACTAGCCGTGGATCGCACCGCAATTTCCACTAAGCCCTTGGAACCGTAGATATTATTACGAAACGCGTAAAGGTTGTGAAATATATAATGTTGATTCGGCAACAAAAATTACGGCAGTTGTCGAATGCAATTTGAGGTTCTTGCTTGCGGTTGCAAATTCAATTTCCACAGCTTTAAGATTACTTTTAAAATACAACTTTTTCGTAACTATACTTCTTTTTAGAGATTTTACAAGACCCCGTGTCTTGTAAAATCTCTAAAAAGTGAAATCGCTAGAAGAATGTAGCTGGGCTGGGCAGCATTTGGAGATCTGCGTCATATCTTCTCGTCGCCACTACCATAATGCCTAAAAAGCAGGGTCTACAATCAGTGCGTCCTGCTTGTCATGACATACGGGGCCGAGACGTGGAACATGACGGTGAGCCTGGCCCACCGATTACATGTCGCTCAGCGAGCTATGGAAAGATCTATGCTCGGTATTTCGCTAAGGGATAAAATCCGAAACGAAATTATCCGGCAGAGGACCAAAGTTGTCGATATAGTCCGTAAGTGTAGCAAGCTGTAGTGGCAGTGGGCTGGCCACATCTGTCGTAGAACCGATGAGCGTTGGAGCAGACGGGTTCTCGAATGGAGACCACGTCTCGGAAAACGTAGTGTCGGACGTCCCCCTACCAGGTGGACCGATGACCTGAGAAAGGTCGCTGGTAGTGGCTGGATGAGGAAAGCGGAAGATCGTGCTCTTTGGAGTGCTCTTCCCTTGGGAGTCCTATGTCCAGCAGTGGACTGCAAAAGGCTGATTGGATTGGATTGAATTGGGCGTGACAAAAACGAAATTTCGTTTGCATTAGTTATTTTTAACTGCATTATGTTTTAAGTGCAGTGTACACAAATGATAGTACCAAATGATCTAGTTCTACTTTCATTCCCAAAAAAATATTACATATTTTAATATCCATATTAATGGAAATGACGGGAGAAAAAATTAATAAATATGGAGACAAAGATGGTCAAAAATTACATGCTGCAGCAAAAGTGAAGCCTAATTCGACGGTTAGTTTTTAGTCAAATAGGTTTTCAACTGTTGTTTAACTGTAGAATCAACCTACAAATCCAAGTCGAAGGGTCACCTCTTTGTGATCTTATCAGTTCCTGATTTGCTGTGGTTCGTCAGCAGCTATGATTGACAAGCAAGTCAGGGATTTTCGGTCCAGGAAACTATTCGTATTCTACTATATGTTTGGACTCGTTTAGTACGTATATAGAAGTGAACCTTCTGTACGCGCGTTATGCAATATTTATTAGCACCGGACATGGCAGGCAAGCGCAGGTGTTGTGGAGTAATTAGGTCTGAGTACGTGCCCCCGAGAGGATTCCTATACGAAGTCGTTATTTATACTTAAACATCTAGTTTAGGTACAAATTACGACTTCGTACAACAATAATGTATCCGATAATTCTTCAACTAGTAACTAACTATTTATGAATAAGGTTGTAAAGGAGAGATTAACTAACCGCAATAGCTCAGTGTTCGGGCATTCGCTTTTAATAGCAGCAACAATCGAGCACACTGGGTTCAAATCTCGGTGTACCCATGAAATTGCTGTATGAATGAATTTCAAGTGTTGATTAGCGGTGAAGGAAAAACGCGAGGAGGCCTTGAATATTTTCGAAATAATAACAAAGAAAAATATTTCGAAGATATGTGAAATCTGTCAACCCGAAGTGGGTACGAGTGGTGGACTATTCCCTAATACCTTCTGTACAGGCGAGACCTTTGCTCAGTAGTGATTTGATGTAAAAAATTGTATTACATTTCAGAAATTTTAAGTCTTTTTTGTAAATAATGTAGGAAACATTTGTTCTAGCTCTTCTCTCCGTCAGGGAACAGTTTTTATAGACACCATTTCTCAAACTTATTATTATTTAAATCACGCTTGAGTTATCCACTATTTTGCTCGTTGCACAATAGTAGAATGAGCTCACGATATTTGGTTAATATAAAAGTGCGAATTGAATTTAAGCTGAAAAGCTCCGTGTGGTCTAAAAATAGCAGACCGTGCGCGTCGTCGGAATGCGGTTTGTGCCGACGAAAGACCATGTCAACTTTTGCCGAATTAAGAAAGAATGATGACTCTTTGGCGCAGTTGCAATCCCTTGGCCAACCAAAGAGTAGAGGACTTAACCGAATATGTACCACACAATATCGAAGCTAAAAGCTAAACCGAATACAATACGAAAACCGATTTTTTTAATCTATTCATAAATGACACGGTTCGCGCGGGAACGCATATCATTTAATTAAAAGTACAACCGAATCGAAAACCGCTTTTTTGGAAGTCGGTTGATGGAACAAAAACTTTCACATCATGTAACTATTATCGGTATACAGACGCATTCTTGTTCGATACCAGGCCTATGTGACTGTGATAAACGTTATCGTTACAATCAGAACCCGGAACATCGCTAATCATACGCCACAGAAACTAGGCCATTGTCGCCTTCAGTAGCACCATCGGCCGTTGCCCTCATCAGATTGGGCTAACTCGACTTTCCACCGATTAGACCAGATCGCGGACTAAGCGCGAACAAATGAACAATGCCCATTGTGCCTCCGCTCGTCATCCAAAAGCAGATCTGGTTCTTTCCGCACGTACCTCAAGGCCAGCCGCGGCCGACGCGCTTGGCCGCCCAACTGTGCCAACGGGCCAGTGGCCAACGATTCCGGCGTAGAGCCTTACCATTTTTTCCTTCCATCTCGTAAACTACTGTGTTACGAAACATGATGCACTTTTATTTGTGTTGGTGTCGTCTGCGGTAGGTTTTTTTGGTTGAATTATCATAAAAAAAATTATTTGCCATGATTTTATAACGAACTAAAAATGATTAGAGAAATTATTTTATACCTTTCTAGTCCGTTATAAGAACATGGTAACTTTTTTAAAAATTTTATTATTGTTCTTCTTCTTTTTCTCCTCTCACATTTTCAAGAATTGTCATCCACTTCTGAGCTATGGTCCAAATTTATCCAAATTTACCAAATTTATCTAGCTCATCGGGAAGTTGGTTTAAAATCAATTACAAAATTCCACCCGGTCAGACATACCGAGTAGTACAAAAAGGCGAGTTAATATAAACATGGTAAAAATGAAGCCAATTTGTTAAAGTAATTAAAAATCATCATACGTCACACAACAAAACGCTTTCGTTTCGTAGTTTCGTTTTATACTTCCTTTATCTTACCTGCTTTTACAGACAGTACGCATAGCTTTCGCTGCAATACTGTTTGTAGGTCGTTTACCTCCTTACAATTAATTGTGCCCGCATCACTCTTTTTGGGAACAGAATTTTCTCGAAAAAAAAACCATTTAGCATTAGCCCTATCACAACATAGACGTATTTTTATATTCAATATTCACATATATAGTATATTTAATATTCACATCAAATCGTATCGAAAAGTTTTCTGGGTCTAAAATTTGTGAACGGTTTGGAATTTCGGTAAGGCTATTTGTGTTGTAGTGTTTTTTGTAATTTAATATTGACTTTGTGTACTTATATTGAGCCGTTATAGCTCTAGTGTCAGGGCGCTCGTTTTTAATTCATTATACTGGAGCAACCCGAGTTCAAATCTCGGTGCCAGCACCAATGTTTTTTTTTTTTTTTTTAATAAAAAACAAAAAGATAATTTCAAAAATATATGAAGTCCGCCGGCCAATCTTCAGTGGGGTCGCGTGGGAAACAGTGCTCTAATACCCTTTGTACAGAGGAGGCCTTTGCCCAGAAGTAGGACATGTATAGGCTATTACTTTACTAATTCTGATCCTCTTCATCTTTTTCTTTTCGAGTCAAAATTATGTGGTGAAAGGGTTTGTCAATCTTTAATTTGCAGAATTAGTAACCGATGGCTTAATCGGTAAATAATTCTGATAATCTGTAATAATCATTGGCAACTGGATTGGTGTCTAAAGTTTGTGTCGCACATAAATAGGTAAAGATAAGAAGATAGACCCACACGAAAGATTTTGCTGCCGTCTGAATAGACTGATTTATCGTGGGGTCGCAGGAGACCAGCATATAGTATAGTACTCGCCACACACTTGTACAACGACTGACAAACGTCACATGGGTAATATGTGACAGTGAGAACGCTATACGAAGCCAAAGTTAACTAATTGTCTCTTTCCGAAGATGTTATTTATCGCCGAGAGCTCTAATAGTGGAAGTGTACATAACTATTGAGACAAAATTGTATAATTTTTTATATTGATTTTATTATTTCGTATGTTAAATGTGTTAAACCGAAATAATGAGCCGTGTTAGCTCAGTGTCCGGGCGCTCGCCTTTAATTCAATATACTCGAGCAACCTGAGTTTGATCTCCGGTGCCGGCACCAATGAAGTTTTTAACTTTAAGTGCTGACTTATCACGTGCTCCGCGGTGAAGGAAAACATCGTGAGGAAACCTGCATATTTTCGAAATAATAACAAAAAAAAAATATTTTCGAAGATATGTGAAGTCCACCAATCCTCAGTGGGGCCGCGTGGTGGACTATGCCCTGATACCCTCTGTATAGAGGGGGCCTTTGCCCAGCAGTGGGACATGTATAGGCTGTTACTTTACTATATTAAATACTATTAGTATATTCTTTTTTTATTTGATGACTGCATGGCAATTCAATTGCCAAAGCTAAATTTGCATGCTGTTAAACAGATGAATAGGTTAAAGCGACAGACATGTACCCAAACATCGTTGTAACCATTATGGCAAATAAATATTTGATTTTGAATTTGTCACAACCTGAGGTCCCTATCAAAATTCGGCCCCGCACTCCCACCGCAACGGAAACCGACTCGTGGGCCCTCGCAAACCTGACAATCCGCTCGCTCGTTACAGGGGCAAGGACTGCCGCAGCAACCTGTACCTGCTCCCCACTGGAGAGATCGTCTACTTCGTGGCCGCGGTGGTGGTGATGCTGAATGTGGAGGAGCAGTGCCAGCGGCACTACACCGGCCACACGGACGACGTCAAGTGCCTCGCGATCCACCCGAACAAGCTCATAGTCGCGAGCGGCCAGTGCGCCGGCCACGACAGGGTTGACGCGCGGGTGAGGCTTTTTTTTCCGTGGGATATATCCTTTATGGATCCCCTGCGCGGGTGAGGCTTTTTCTTTTTACGTGGGAAAGATCCTCTATGCATCCCCCGTCCCCGGAGGGTGAAGTTTGCCGTGATACTTTTCATTTCTAACGGCCGGTTTCCATATTCTGTCTGTAAGTTTGCTTAGCGATAGGTATTTGACATTAGCTCCCTCCTTAGGCCTTCCGTCCATGACATAAAGCTGGTACAGTTGTATTAGACGGTGGTTCGTCTTGACAATCCTTCGACCGTCTCCTCACATTGTCAATATGCAGATGGTAGGTCTTTATGTTTGACATTTAAAGATTCTCCATACAAAGTTTAACCTAAGAAGGTAGTTCACCTATTTAGAACCGAGAGACGCATATATGCATAGCAGGGATTAGTAATTTTCTTGACTTAAAATCTGCTTTTCAACAACAGACCACTAGACCATCATCAGGCTCGCAATCCTTTTGGCGGGATTGGTTAGTTTCATGAAGTTGGTCAACTCATTTATAAGTATCCTTCTTTAAGTACACCGTCCATCATTGTTAGGGAATACCAGCGATTTGGATCGAAGTCGCCGGCGACATTGACTATTGACTGCGAACTGGCCAGTACGCAATAAAGGATTACCAGCCGTATCGCTTTTGCAATAAAGTGCAATCTCCTTCGGCAGCCGCACGTGCGCGTCTGGAACTCGGTGTCGCTGGCCACCCTGGCGGTGCTGGGTGGTGCACAGCTGCAGCGCGGCGTCGCCGGGCTGGCCTTCTCCAGGGCGGATGGGGCACTCCTCGCCGCGCTGGACGACGCGCCCGACCACACCATCGCGGTCTGGGACTGGCAGAGGCCCGACAAGCACTGCCTGGCCGAGACTAAGGTAGAGACTAAGGACTCTTTGATTCCCTGACTGAGAATTATATTCCGTAGTTGCAGAGGTATTCCGTGGGGTCGCGGGTTCGATGCCACGGGGCAGTTATTCATGCGTACCCAGGGATAATTGTTTCGGATCTGGGTTTCGTTTGTCCACGTGATATTTATGTATTTAAAACGTACTTGCACACGACAGCCGGCTAGAATCCAACCAGATTCTAGCCTACGACGTTTTTTTTTTATTAATAACGGAATAATATTAAGGACGGAAGACATCAAGAATCGAGCCCACATCCCCCGGGGTTGGAGTCAATACCGTAGCAACGGTGCCTAGTCATCATGTCTCATGTTTACTCAACAGTGCTCGGTGGACACCGTGGTCGCGGTGGAATTCCATCCGCTGGATCGCAACCAGATCGTGACTTGCGGCAAAAACCATATCGCTTTCTGGACCCTCGACCAGACCAACATGCTGTACAAGCGGATGGGAGTCTTCGAGGGGCGGGATAAGCCCAAATACGTAACCTGTTTAGCCTTTAATCCCAATGGTGAGTGAAAACACTTGATACAACTGACTTATAAAAATGGTCCTTGAAGCCGGAACGTTATTTGTCTTTTTTGTTAGTTTAACAAATTTTCAATATAATGATAAAAATCAGTCGAGCTTTGAATGAAACGCACTAAACAATTAAAACATGTAGAAAACTTGCACTGAACAAATTCACCTTTTGACCAAGTTGTGACGGGATTTTTTTACGAAATCTAGATATCAACCCACCCGCGTAATTGCTAATCGTAATGGTATCGCGGTATTTAAGTCTGAAATACTTTCAAACCTCCTCCAAAAAACATAGTTGTTTTTTTGCTTGCTAATCACAGATCAAAAAGAAATCATATTCTGCAACGGTATTAAGAAAGTGTTATGAAAACTGTAAAGCTGGGATTTGCAGTAGATTAACTTTAGCCTCGCAACAGTCTTCTCTGTTACGAATGCGCAGGTCCGTCCAGGTAAGTACCATACCACAGAAGATCATCGTGAAGTTCATCAGTTAACATCAGGTGAACCGCTGTAAGCATTCCATCTTCTTACATTAAAAAAAAAATAGAAAAAATGATTAAACGTGTATGAAAATTTAAGCCGTGTCAGATGTGAGCAGAATGTTGTGTTGTTGTCTCTTTCTATCTGTTAAGCTTAACTGTGTCTTCGTATGTATTTACGTGTGTATACTGCAATTGCAATATACAAGCTTCAGGTGACGTTCTGCCCGGTTATACGTATCAGCGTGTATACTAAAATTGGCCTTTATAATCTTCAGGTGACGTTCTTTCCGGTTATATGCATCAGCGTGTATGCTAAAATTGGCCTTTATAATCTTCAGGTGACGTTCTGTCCGGTTATATGCATCAGCGTGTATACTAAAACTGGCCTTTACAATCTCCAGGCGACGTTCTGTCCGGCGACTCGAACGGGAACATCATCGTGTGGGGCCGCGGCACCAACACCATCCTGAAGGTGGTGAGGGGCGTCCACGAGGGGCCGGTCTTCACGCTGTGCTGCTTGAAAGACGGCAGCGTGCTCTCCGGCGGCGGCAAGGACGGCAGGGTGGTCATGTTCGACTCAGAGATGAACGCCACGGGGATGGAGAACGTGGTGAGACTTTTTTTCAATGCGAGAGTTGCGAACGAACTGGCCCATTGACATTCGCAACACCCATAGCGTTGCCCATGCGGTGCCACCTCTTGATGAAATGGGCTAGTCTATCTGTGCTCATTGGAAAACTAACTCGATATCCCTTTTAAAGAAATTTTAAAATGTCGGTTCTCGTTGAGAAATGGACGAAAAATTTCGACACTGCCGAATTTGTATCTGCGTCTTCCGGGTAAACCTTCGTAGATAACGTTACGGCTCGAAAATCTTGCTATGTATACAATATATCATATGGGTAGTAGTTTATCGTATATCAAATCGAGTAATTTATCGAATTCGCAGATGTCTTAGTTTATAATAATCGAATACTCTCTCTCTGAATTAAAAAGATGTCAGTTTGACAGCAGTCCAGTCTGATAGCAACCTTTGTGAAAACAAAACTTTACTGCAAAGAGAAGTCTTTTCAGTAAACGCAGAAGAGCATTAGCTCTATGGTTGCTACTCTTCTCTATCCTACTTACTCCTTGTTCTATAACTTTGTTTACCCACAATCCAAACACGCAGGGCTGAACTAGCTTAATTCCCTTTCAAGCATATCATAGTGCCAAATGGAACACTCTGTTTTTGGAACCCGTCAGATCGAAGGCCACTACGGCGGAGTGCGTGTATTGGCAGAGGGCAAAGGCAGCCAAGTGTACATAGGCACCACGAAGAACTGCATCCTTCATGGGGACCTCCAACTCGGCTTCTCGCCGGCTGTCCTTGGTAAGTACCTTAGACTGTAATCATATAACTCACATATTGACGGTCGCCCAAGTTAACTTTGACATTAAGACGTAATACTACATCTCAATCCCTTCCGTGATCTCGGTCTCTTCTGGAAATGGTTCGAAACGTTAAAAATCCCATTAAAAGCGATGACATCAGTAAAATAGTTCCAATTCGCTTTATATTACCTTTGTTGCAATAAATTTAGGTAAATCAATATCAAAATACCCTTGCACTGAAAAGTTAAATGTCGCGTTAAATTCTTTCCCGTGTGGATAAAATCGACAACGCCGAGTGCAGTGGCAGTTGGCAAGACAGAACTCTAAACTAAAACATCCATGCATAACAATTAATATGAGTGAAACATTATCTATCTATGTAAAAACTATAAATAAAGTGTGAGTTTGTGTATACAGCGTGTCTTTAGACACGCTGTATATGGAGAGTAATCTCTGGAACACATATGTGTATATAATTATAATGGCTGTATATTAAAACGTTTGTGTGGACGCGAATCGTAAGAATTTTACTGTCATAATTTTTCCAAACGCATCAAAATAAGTATAACGGATAATAAAATAAAAACGGGACAAAATGAAATCGGTGCATATTTGTGATAGCAAGATATAGCCGTGATGTCTCTGTGTCCGGCCGCTCGCCTTTAATTCAATATACTCGAGTATAACCTGAATTCGATCCCCGGTATCAGCACAAATGAAATTGTTAATTTTAAGTGCTGATTTATCACGTGCTCAACGGTGAAGGAAAACTGCATATTTTAGACATCATAACAAAAAAAAAATATTTCGAAGGTATGTGAAGTCCGCCAATCCGAAGTGGGGCCGCGTGGTGGAACTATGCCCTAATACCCTATGCACAGAGGAGGCCTTTGCCCAGCAGTGGGATATGCATTGGCTGCTACTTTACATTTTTGTGAAATGCTCCAGGGCACGTGGACGAGTTGTGGGGTCTGGCCACGCATCCAACGCTGCCGCAGTTCGTGACGGCGGGCTGGGACCGGCTTCTCCAGCTCTGGGACGGGCTCAGCCACTCCACGGTCTGGAGCAAAGACATCGAGGTGCGTTGAGGATACACAAAATAGTTATGGAGAGTATCATGATATAAGAGTGTGTAATGTGTAAAAGAGAAATCTATTTTTCATACCCTAAGTGATAAAGGTGGTCAATCCCAAACATATTTTACCCTACAAATTCTTCAGTAATAATTAATATTTACGAGTAAAACATTTTTGGTAATAAATAACAATACCCAATTGAAATATCTCACTCACTGTATATTTCAATTCGATTTTGAGGATTGCCCTGACGTAATAGTAGTACAATACCGGTGAAATTACACCGAACCGGAGCTAGATCGAATACCAGCGCAGAAAGAATGTTCAACGTTCGATGAGTCTGTGGCGCAATTGCCAATATCTTGGCTTAGCTGCGGCGTCTGGGATCGTGGGTTCGATGCACGCACGGGACAAGTATTTGTGCGACCCGCAGATAGTCGTTTCGAATCTGGGTGTTTTTTAAAAAGAACACCCGCCCCCGTTTTAGGAGCGCGCGCAGTGCTGCGCGTGGTCGCGCGACGGCAGCGCCGTGGCCGTGGGCTGCCTCTCGGGCCGCTGGCTCGTCTTCGAGCCGCACTCGCGCGACCTGCTCGCCGCGCACCACGACGGGTAGGACATTACCCTCTCTCTCTCTTTCGCTCGCTTGCTCTCTCGCTCACTCCCTCCCTCAATCACATACGCACGACGGGTAGGACACCACTCCCTCTCTCTCGTTCGCTTGCTCTCTCACTCACTCCCTCCTTCAATCACAAACGCTCTCACTAACTGTCTCACTCGTTATTCTCACTTTCTCATTCACTCACTTAATCAATCGTCTATCTCTGAGAGAGTAGACGATTGATTGGGTGATTATCACTTACTCTCTCACTCATTCCACTTAAACTCTCAAATTCTCTCTGTGTCTCTTACTTACCCACTTACTTATTAAGTCACTCACTTACTGTCTCAAACACTCACTATTACACTAACTTACTCTTTTACTCACTCAATGTCTAACTTATTCACTTAATTGAAATTCACTTACCCTCTCACTTGATCATAAATCACTTACCATCTCACTCAATCACATAACCTCTTACTCACTCACTCATTAATCATCACTCTCACCAAGTCATTACTTTACTCGCTAACTTATTGCCTCATTAACTCAATGACTTTCTCATTTACTCACCTAAATTTTCATTCACTCACTGACTTTTTGATCTATTCTGTTAGATAATTAAGTGAGTCTGATCACCTTTGCTCTCACTCACCCGTTTTCTTATTTACTCACTTGATTTCTTCCTTACTCACTTTCTTATCTTCTCACTCGCTCACTAACGCCCTTACTCTTTCATTCAATCATCTGTTCTCTCAATCACTCACCATATGACTCGCTCACTGACCCTGTCAGTCAGTCACTCACTCACGTACTTATTTACCCTCTACCACAGTCATTGTTTGACATTGTTGTCTCCGACACTCAATCACTCACTTATTCTAAGGACATAAAATTAACAATCTCATCAATCCCGCACCGGGATTCGAACTCGAATGTATCGAATAAGAAGCGAGCGCCTATTATGTTAGCCATCCCGACTCTATTCATCTTAGGTTGCTCTAGTGCATCTAATTTCGGTCCATTTGAGCTTCGACCCTCGCCCCCGCAGGACGGAGCCCATCCAGACGATCCAGTACTCGCCGAACAACAAGCTCGTCGCGCTGGGCTCGCGCGACAACTTCATCTACGTGTACCAGGTGGACGACAACTGCGCGAGATACTCGCGACTCGGCAAGTGCCTGGTGAGGCCCGCATTAATATATTATATTCGATTGTGATATTTCGACCACACATTATGAGGAATACAAATCGAACGTACAATATAAATATTTTATGAAATCAATGCAGGTTCTTATATATACAATACTAGCGGACCTGACAGACCTTGTCCTGTACACACGACTTAATCCGACAACAACTACTTCTAAAAAAAAATAAAAAAAAATTGTATTTGACCGAATTGTGAATCTGAACCATGCTCGAATCGACCCGAAGACAAACAAAAAATGTAACCTAAATCGGTCCAGCCGTTTCGGAGGAGTTCAGTGACATACACACGTACAGAAGAATTAATTATATATATATATATATATATTGCCGACTATTCTCTGGATAGGTCTAAGTTAGTGAACCGGTGGCACTTTTAAGACGTTCTATAAGAGCTCATAATAAACGTATATCGAATAAATAAATTTCGAAACTTTGAAGCGTCGCGACGGAAATTCCCAACGTTATTAAAATTTTCATTCCAAGTATTTTTTTATTATATGTGAAGGTGGCAAACGAGCTGACAATTCACCTGATTTTAAGTGACAACCGCCGCCCATTGACATTTGCCACACCAGTAGAGAGTTGCAGATGCGTTGCCACCTTTTCATAGAGTGGGTCCCGGCCACCTCACTCGCCAGACGAAACGCAGAAGTATAACAGTTCTACTTCACGCTGGACTTCTATGAGGTCGTGATCCCGGACGTAACTGCCTATTAGTGCAACAACGAAGATTTGCTTGGCCCTGCCACTGTTAAAAAGTTAATAATTTATGAATATTTCATGCGTCCTCAGTGCACGGAGAGAAAACGTAGACGGGTAGAGGAAATGAATGGTCACATAATGTAGATATATAGTCCGCATGATATATGCCATTCTACTTATAAGGACGCGTACACACGATGCTCATAAAACCAATCGAAATAATATGCAATGCTATACAGGATGATTTTATAGACGACGGACATATTAAGAGAGCATATGCAGAATTTGATTCTAAATATGAATCTGGTACGTACTTGTGACGTCATTTTTTTTTTCAATGATTATTTTTAATTTTTTCTAACATGGATTCCCTATTAGGAATTCCTGCCTTAACGTCTCAATACAATTAAACCTATTCACGAGCACTAAAACTGTTCGCTGAACGCATAATTACTAAACCGCTTATCAATTGGGTGACTACTCTTAACTAACGGGATAAACAAACAATGTTTCAATTGATATTTTTCTGGTTATTTATTGTCAAAATAAAATATTAATGTTTCTTTATTATGGAATGCTCAATTAACATTGTGTCAAAGTTTGTACTTCGTCTAAAAAATCATCCTGTATAAATACTGTTTAATCCAAATCTCTATACCTTATATTCAATTACAAATCGTGTGTACAACCCCGAAAAATAGCCAGATTCATTCTGTTTAACTTTTTGTAGGCTGAGTTCTAGTTTATACATACCCTTAGTTGTGCTTTTAGAGTAGTAACTAGTAACCTTTACAGTAAACTTTGCTATTATATTTACGCTTTGTAGAATAGAATTAGAGATGTAATCGTATAGAATCAGTAGTTATGGCCTAGTTTTAGTACTAAACTTAACTAAGCATAGTTGAATTCACTTGTCATTATTCACACATTTTATCCTTTACTGTTTTTTTTAATTCACAAATTATACAGCATGTCATTACCATCGCGACAATAAATGAACACACATCTAACGCTACTTGCCAATAATCATAAAGAAATATTAACGTTAAAAAAAATCCATAATTAAAAAAAATATTTTTCAAACAAACCAATTAATTAAAAAAGAAACAAAATTTGTAACATCCTATCCTATACAACTCGCGCCACAGCGTCGCATTACAAGCCTCTCCTTCTAACAGTATGTTTTGTCTCTTTTAAATTCATTCAACCCATTCATATGCTTTGTGACCTTTACAAATGAACTATACGTAAGGATGTTCTAAACTTCTTTGTTTTGGAAAATTTAATAACTCTGTAAATATTGATGTTTAAAGAATGTAAATATTTCATACAATTTTAAAAAGTTATCCTCTATATCTGTGTTCATTTATTGTCGCGATGGTAAAGACATGCTGTATACGTACTTTACGAGTTTAGTAATGACTAGTGATTATCTTTAATGTAGCATACTATCGCTATAACAAGTTTAAGTACCTAAAAGCCTTCCATATCTAACCGATCAATAATAATTGTACCATTTCTCAGGGTCACTCCAGCTATATCACCCACTTAGATTGGTCTGAAGACAGTCAATACATTAGAAGCAACTCGGGAGACTACGAGTTGCTATACTGTAAGTGTATTCTGGTATATTTAGTTTTTAATGCGTGTAGAATGTACTATACTCAGCCATAAATATTGCAAATCGGTTTTGGAAAGAGACAATCGGCCAATTACGGCTTCGTAGAGCGCCATCTCTGTCGCACAACGACTGACAAAGTTACGTAGATAGTGTGCGACAGAGATAACGCTCTATGAAATCGAAATTAGTCTATTTTTTCTTTACAAAAATTGATGTTCGCGCACCATAGTACCTGGATGATTTTTTATTCTTACAAAAGAAGGAACTTGGTAAAAAAATCTGGACTCGAATGGGGGCATTCTGGAATGAAAATCGTTGGAGCCGTTCCTATACAGCGTGTCGTTACCACCGCGACAATAAATGAACACTATATGTGTGTTCAGGATAACTTTAAAATTGTATTAATCATTTACATTCTTTAAACTTCAATATTTACTGAGTTTTTAATTTTCCAAAACAAACAATTTTAGAACACCCATACGTATAAAAGTGTAACGTAAAGTTCATTTGTAAAGGTCACAAAGCGTATGAATGGGTTGAATGAATTTAAAAAAGATAAAACATATTGTTAGAAGGAGAGGCTTGTAATGCGACGCTGTGACATCGAATGCCGAAGACGTGGGTTCGATTCCCACAGCGGCGACAATCTTTTCGAACTTTTTCTACGTTTTAATTGTTTGAAAAATATTTTTTTTAATTATGATTTTTTTTTACGTTATTATTTTTTTATGATTACTGGCAAGTAGCGTTAGACGTGTGTTCATTTATTGTCGCGGTGGTATATAAGAATTGCTCGTTGAAAGGCATCAGATAATATATATAACGTCCACCCCGGCAGGGAACGCGACGACGTGCCGCCAAGTGGCGAGCGCGTCGTCGATGCGCGACGTGGCCTGGGCCACGCACACGTGCCCCATCACCTTCCAGACGGTCGGCGTCTGGCCGGAGAACGCGGACGGCACCGACATCAACTCCTGCGTCAGGTATTACGAGCCATCATCCCCTGCCCTCACCCCACCCGGGCGGGGTCGGCACATCTGAATCGTCTTAGGCGGTTTTCCCTGATGTCAACCCTCTTTGGGTATCGAACCAGAACCGGAACAATTATCTGTGGGTCTCATAAATAGTTGTCCCGTGTGGTAATCGAACCCACGATCCTCGACGCCGAAGCAAACGCTTAGTTACCCCGGCTCTAGAGTAACTCCGGTCAGGGATCCCAGGGAGTACAGCACTCCCACAGTTGAAAGCGTGAGTGAGTGCGTGTTTATGTGTATATGTGCATGGCAATCGCACTTGCGTCCCAAATGTATCCAGATTGTTAAAAATCTAAATGGCAGCTTTATTTTTTTTTCAGGTCCAACGACGGCCGCCTAATGGCGACCGGAGACGACTTCGGCAAAGTGAAACTCTTCGGATATCCCGTGACGCAGCCCAAGGTGATGCCCTAACCCACATTTTTGTTGTTTTTTTTAAACATTACCCTTACTGTAGGATAAATTATCCTGTGTCGTAAGGACGTTTTACATACAAAAATTTCACGCGGGCAAACACCGAGATCCGAAACAGTTATATGTCGGTCACACAACTACTTGTGTGACCAACATATAATTGTGTGAACACTAATTGTGCGCGTGTTTACGTCCTTTTTATAGTCAAATACCACATATGAAACATCAAACTCTAATAAATCACAAAATGCGTGTCTGTATGCTCTGTGCCGTGCGCAGTCGCTGAGCCACGCGTACGGGGCGCATTCGTCGCACGTGACGTGCGTTCGCTTCCTGCCCGACGACTCGCGCCTGCTCTCCGCCGGAGGGCTCGACACCGCCATTGCTCAGTGGCTCGTCGACTGAGCAGGAACACAGCTTCAATCCCCAACGACGTCAAGCCTGAACAACGCAACGCACCCATCTCTCAGAATTGTGTACAAACACACAGCCTGGGGTTGATACAACCGAACCGATTCCTCGAAAGTAAATCATGAACGTCAATCCCCACAGCGTCGCGAAATCTGTGCGCTGAACACAGACCCGAAAGCCAATAAAACGACACACCCATCCCAAAAGCTGTGTACAAACACAGACAGCCTCATGTCGTCGCAACCGCACCAGTCACTCGAACGTTAACAGACAGTCTTAGGTAGAAATAACCGGACCGATTCCTCGAAAGTATACTATGTAACGATCGAGTTAAAGCTTTCTCGATTACAACGCCGCTATTTCGTTGTGATAACACGCTCGCACTTTTACGCAGGAAAAATACACTTTATAAATTTTGATAAAATACTTTTTAAAAATCTAGCTTGTTATACACAAGTAATTTGAGGTAGAATGCTAAATTATTTGAGAAGTTTTATTCAAATCATTCTAGTGAAGTAAACATATGAAATATTTTTTTTTTTGTCATAATCATTTTATAGAACTTTTGTGCCACAGTTTCCGTCAACTGTTGGAATTGAAAAATTTTAATCTTCTAGAAAATAATCCTTAAATCGCAATCGGATTAAAAAAAATTACTCAATAGTTTCATAGGAGTATAACTAACCATTTCAAAGTTCTTATTGCTTAAAATTTACTACTAATATACTCAAATAGTTTTTGGAACAAAAACATACATAATAATTATTCTTACAATGTGTGTTAAAACTGAATTGCTGTTCTGAAATCCTTACTATCTTTTGGAAAATGAAAAAGTATGAAGTCTTTAGGTTTATAGTTTACGTTATGGGCCTACAATTTAAATTTGAACATAAAGCTAAGCACTATGACAAACACGGATTTTTTATTTCGTGCAAAGCAATTTAAGTGATTTTCAAACATTCCGCATTTTTAATACTATTAATTTTTTTAAAAGCTTTTATAAACGCAAATATTGATGACTTTGGGTGTGCCTAGATGTGAAAATTCAGAAGAAGGAAGCGGTAAAGAATGATTTCGTGGAAGAATTTCGAAAGTAAATTGTATCAGGGTCGGCTACGCCAAGGTCTTATACACTAAGTTTTGATTCCGTCGAATAATTTACACATTAGTAGTATAGTTTGCTTATTACATGGCAACACTGAATTAATTTTTTAAGCGTTTTTACACTTGCAACACTGAGCATGGTTTATATGTGATTCGAGCTTTTTAAATATATTTTTAAAGTTTTATGCATAATATTAGGCATGTGTTGCACTATTTTAATATTATAGTTACGGATGGAGTTTACAAATTAGGTTACGTTTTAATTAACATTGCAACGTGGCTTATGACTAATAAATATTTAAAGGTTTGATTTTAAAAGGTATTGTTTTTAATATTCTCCGTGTATTCGTTATCGTTTGTTACGGTTGTCAGTACAAAATGTTCTTAAGCCGCGTCTGACAGATGGCAACTTTTTCGTAGTTTTTATTACTTTGTAACCTAGTCACCGTCGGGGATCGTTTCATTTTGAGTTACAGAACTCTCATTCCATAATTTAAGCACCAATTGAATGTTTTAGGTACTATTGTATATATATATTAATATGTGATGGCTTAGTCCGTCTTATTGAATGTGCCTCTAATAAAACATGTTTAATGATATACGTCTTTCATTATACCTAGCCGGTTCCTTCAACCTGGTTATATCCCTCTAAAGCCTAATGGAAGTAATTAATGCGGAAGTATCGATCAATTACGCTTTTGAATTGTAGGAGTAATCCTGAACTTCATTAATGCCTTTTTTACATTACAAATAAGCGTTTTATAAATTGTAACATGTTTGGGGTATCTAAACTAGGGAAATTTACAACTTTGTATAATTGCATAAAAGACAAGAATGCTCGTGTTAATTCTATTTATTCCAACAATAACGTTAAACTTTTTGTACTCGGTTATTTACATAGTGAACGCAATAAAAAGAAATTCACAAGGAATATAAAATAAATAAACGCAATGGGTACCACAAACATATGCAACCTTTGGAAGTTCATTAATTTCAAAATAAAATGTCAATAAAACTGAGTATATACTAGTATATAAATGACAAAATGTACAAAATACATTAACAAGTATATATTAATCTTTGTTTGCGAGTGTTTTTTCCTGAAGCAACTGCAATTAAATATATCACTTTTGGAGAATGCTGCATGGGAAAATGAACTCAGACCCTAAATATTAATGTCAATGGTATTAAAGATGCTCAATTTTATTTAAAAAAAATCATATAATAAATCTTCAAAATTTTATAATGGAGTTATAAATATTAGTTAGTTTTTTTGCATGAGACGTTAAAGCACATCCTATTTCCCAATTTAAGTCCAGAGTTATTAAAGTAAATAAATAAGATAATCCACTGTCTATCTGCAACATAAAAAGGGAGCGATACAAAAACTTTCCAATGTCCAACGATTTAATTCGACTATTAACAACAACTACACCTATATTAACTGCTCAACACTGTTCGCTGACAGCTCCAGGAGTCTCCAGGCCGCCTTCGGATTCAACTCCTGAGGGTCCCTGCACAGCACCCAGACGTAATTCACCCTCATCACCTTGTCGGGGTCGCCCTCTATCACGTTGTTCTTCGCGTCCCTCACGCACATGATCTGCTGGGACTGGAATGTGATGACTAGCACCGGACCCTGGTCCATCATCTTGCCCATTACCAGTTCGATCTGCTCAATGTCCAGGATCTTCGAGTCGAGCCGGTAGCCCAGCTGCTTGCACTGTTTCATCGGTGTGGCCAGTATGTTGTAGACGCCTTCGTAGCACCAGTCCTTCAGTATTTCCAGATCGCCGCGCACCATCGCCTCCAGGATGTTCGGTATGATGTCATTCGCGCAGTCCTCGAGGAACTTCTGAGCGGTGAAGTTGGGATCAATCTTGCAGATCTCCGTCAGCGTTTTGGACAGTTCCGTCTTCTCGAACAGGTTACCGAACAGGCTGCCGACTTTCTCGGTGACGAATCGCGAAGCTTTGACAACGGGGTTGTCAGATTCCTCGTATCGTATTTTCCAATCTAAAACCTAAACAGGAAATTTAATAAAAAAGCTTACAAAATCTAAGGTAATCTCAGTCGGCTTCACATGAAAAAACTAATTTAAATGTAGGTATTCATTAGTGAAAAAAAAAACGAATATTCACTTTGGATGTTCCAGGTAAAAGAAACCAGAGATTTTGAAAAATAATTTTGGTCTTTTATATGATTATTAATTGAAAATTAGGATAAGTTCGAAAAATCCATAGTCCGACTGTAGAGCTACAGTAGGATACGTTAATATATAAAAAATATATACAAATGTTATAAATAAACATTTTTATATTAAATAAAACATTTTTCTGTTGTGGACATGCGATTAACACTACCTTCTTATGGACCTATTAAAGAAGTGAATGTAAATGTATCCATTGAAATTAAAATTTTATGGCACATTTTAAAAGCACATTTATTTCATGTTTAAAGTTGGCCAACAAGCAGGCGGTTCACTTGATGTACAGAGTACGTTTTCAGATTTGTTGCCACCTCCCTCCACACACGAGACGAAACGCAGAAGTATAACACTTCCACTACACGCCGGTTTCTGTGGGGTTGTGGTTCCTCCCCGGATGGACTTGCCCATTCGGGGAACAGTAAAGACTGTTGCGTGACCCAACCATAGTAAAGCATAGCTACTCACCTTATTAACATATTGGTTGTTGTTCTTAAAGCTCTCCCACTGCTGATAGAATTTTGAGTCCTTGTGTAACTCTAGGCCGAGGGTTTCCGTGTCCGGTGCGAAGGTCCGTTCGTCTTCGGCGACCTGAAATTAATATACTATTTAATATTTTGCTACCAGATCTTAAATCAATCATTACAATCCTAGTTCTCCGCTACAAAATATATTTTTAATAGGTGTTGCGAAAATAAAATGTGTATATCAACGCATTTGCAATCGCCTTTTCAATTTAGTAAATAAGCTGGCAAGTTGTTTAAGTAACATCTAAACAATATTTCTTCGTCTACATCTCCAATTATGATCATCCTTCAATATAAATTTCAAATCTGTATGTCCATCTAACTTGACACTGCTTTTCAAAATATATGTAATAGGTAAAAAGCCAGCCAAGTGCAAAGGGTGCATTATCAATAAAAACGGCAAAAAAATCATATATGTTTTATGGGGGCCCCACTTAAATGTCTTTTTTATACTGTTTTTTAGTATTTTTTGTTATAGCGGCAATAGAAATACATCATCGCTGAAAAATTTTACCGTCTATCTAGGTTCATGAGATACAGCCTAGTGACTGAGGGACAGACGGACAGGCAGCGGAGTCTTAATAATAGTAGATAAAGTAATAGTTTTATCATTAGGGCACGGAACCCTAAAAATGTGCTTCATGTTCACAGTTTGATGGTTGGTAATCATTTACACAAATAACATCACCCATCACACCAAGTTTCTGTGTGGTTCTTAAGGATAAAAACTGAGGTCTTTAAATAGAAGAAATAAAGATGACAATGTCTTTCAAATAATTACAGGCTTATAGAATGTCATGAAGAACTAGATTTAAACAAGGTCATGCTTTGTTCAATTCAAATTGAAATGCAATCACCTCAACTCGTTTCCGCAGTGCTATGGGGGAAGTGTAGACTCGACCCTCAAGCCCTCGGGGCGCCATCTCGTTTTTTACCACTTCGGTTGCCTGAGGAAAAATACAGGGAAACATGGTAATTTTTTTTAAAATAAAACTATTAACATTAGTTTCTGCATCAGGCAACTCAGTGTAAAGAAATTACCCTTTCAATTCTTTTTGCTACTAAACTTAAATGTAATTCATATAACTCTGTTATTGAAATAAATATATATTCATACCTGTGAAATAGTTTTGAAAGCAGATGTCTGTCCTAGTTTATGACCTCTATCAGCTATGCTCTCTGCTGCATCTTTGGCTGTCTTTGATATGTCTTCACCTATCTTTCCTGAAAAGTTGGAAGGAGGTAATTCAACAGATTGTAAAGGTTTATTATATACATACTACATTTTTTCAGAAAACAACTTATACATCTACATACAAAACTACTTAGAAATTTTAAAATTTCTTTTTAAAATTTCATTTTGTCCCCTACATGAAGTATGTAAGAAATAAAAAGAAATTTTTTTAATCATAAATCTAGTACATCATTTCATAACTTTTTACAAAGGGTACTTAACAAAAATTGCAGTACTTGATTGCATTCTTATGCACTGTTTTTTTTGAGCTTACAAAGACTGACAAAGAAATATCACTAATGAAATATGTAATTCAACATTTATTTATCTCAAACTAGCTGCTGCCCGTGACTACGTCTGCGTAGAATAGGCTGAAGGCGTAACATTCAGACAGATATACATAAAATATATATATGAATTTCAAGTTTCATTAAAATGCGCTCAGTAGTATTTGCGTGAAAGAGTAACAAACATCCATCCATACATACAAACTTTTGCATTTATAATATTAGTAAGTGCTAATAAGTAAGTTTGTTATTTTTATACATTAAGGAGCTCTCAAGACGGGCGCCATTACCAAGACCAATTACACATATACAGCGTGTCGTTACAACCGCGACAATAAATGAACGCACGTTTAACGCTACTTGCCAATAATCATAAAATATAAAACGTTACAAAATCCAGAGTTATAAAATATTTTTCAAACAAACTAATTAAATAAAAAAGAAACAAAATTTGTCAACATCCTATACAACTACAACTGACTGATTCATACATTCAGAGACTTTTTCATTTGTTGCCAAAACGTCGCATTACAAGTTTCTCCTTCTTGCAGTATGTTTTATCTCTTTTAAATTCATTCGACCCATTCAAATGCTTTGTGACCTTTACAAATGAACTTTACGTTACAGTTTTATACGTAAGGGTGTTCTAAAAATGTTTGTATAATTTAATAATTTGGTAAATATTGATGTTTAAAGAATTTAAATGCTTAATACAATTTTAAAAATTTATCCTCTATATGTGTAAAATATTTTCACACACTGTATAAAATATTTTCATATTATCTCACATATTAAACAAATTGACTGTATTTATGGTATGAAGTAAGTAACATGTCTACTAAATAGACTTTCATAGTGAAAATAACAAGTTTGAATTATATTTTTCTACTAAAACTAAATGTTTGCATCAATTTTAACTTATGAATTATTGCATTAGTGATATTTCCATATCAATTAAAAATTTCAGTAAACTTAAAAAAAACTGCACGTAACATTGTAAAGAATTCCGAGTAAGATAAGATTGTAAACAGTTCCATTAGTAATGTTGTTATATTTTTTTTTTTACTAAAAATATAAACAAAAACAACTATTGAACTTACCAGCCTTTTTTGCAAACTCTGTTTTACTGGCTTCCTCTAAAACATGCTCCACCTTCCCTTTAATACCCTCCAATGTATCTTTTAGAACCTCAGATCCCTTTGAAGCCTCAGATTCAACGGCATGGAACTTTCTTCGCGCCGCCTGCAACGCATCCGAGTTCTCAAGCCTCTGCGCTTCTTCGCGAAACTTTTTGATGTTTTCTTTCATTTCCTTGTTTTTCGCAATGTCTTCTTTGATGTTTTCAATGATAGAGGAGAAGAACCCTTTCCGTGCAGAATAACTTCGCCATTCTTGAACTGAAAACTACAGGTTGTAACTTCTTAATTAAATAAAACAATTCTACAGCCGAAGGTCTGTTATTAAAACTCTTGTCCATTGACAACTAAAAAAGAATGTTTAAAATAGAATTAATGTTTATATTTTTCTACATAATATGTATTAATGTAATTATTTTTGCACCGTTATCCTGCAACTTTATTATCTATATCCTGTACCCTAAGGTTGCCTGGAAGAAATTGATTTCCTCAGCAATAGGCCGCCTGTATGTACACTATATGTCCTGTATCTTGTTTCTTTATATTTCTTTGTGTGCAATAAAGTACGAAACAAACAAAAAAAACAGCTTTGTCATAGGAAAGTACCCATGAATTTATCTTTGAGATTTTTACTTGAAGGTCATGGAATGAATTGAATAGTTTAATTAATAATAAAGTATAACTAATATTATTGAGTGATGTAACTTTTCTTATAAATATTTATTAAATAGCAATGTCCTATTATAATATTTGTGACACTAGTTTTGTGTAGTTTGATAAGAAAAATTTTACTCTGAAAATTGTGATTATCATAAAGCTATATACTAAAGCGCTTTCATAAACTAAACTTATGAAAAATTTCATAATTATTATGATCAGTAAATTCCTTTTTTACCATCCTTACCTGGTCAGATTGGGAAGTGATAATTGTAGGTTTAAAGCTTACTGGTAGAGCACATTTCCATCGCGCAGGGCTGTATAATAATTGTCGACATGAATGCTGAAATTATACGGAAAAATTGATAAAGCACATAACCTTACTGACTTAGAATTTCATGCGGGGTAATGACTATGTACCATTATTGTAAATATTTGTAATTGTTGAGCGTTAACGTGTAGTTCGCTATTGTTATGTAATTATGCAACCGACCTTTCGGTTTATATGAAATAAATTATGAAAAATTGCTAATTAAATCATTATCCTTGCATTTTATTCGACTTTTGAGCTCAGAGTCTATGGTACTTGATTGACAATTTATGGCTAATTTTTTTTTTCTCTTAGACATGACATGTAGCTTTGGCCTCTGTTTTTAACTTCAAATTATAAAAGCCATAAATATATGTTTTCAAAGGATATTTCTGAATATACATTTAAGTCCAAAATTATATTCAATTGAACTTTTTATTCTTCATTATTATAAAAACTTTTTATGAATGTAGATACCATATCTATATATGAAGAAACAACTGCCACTGTCAAATATGGATGTCATAGACAACGTAATTCAAAAGTTTTACTTCCTGTTTCGTATTTATTTCACAAGCGTTTTTCTTATTTTAGAAATTCTTTGTAATTAAACATAGCGTTTAAAGAAATAGACATGAAATATTTGGTAAATCGAAATTTATACGGTTTTCAATATAGGATGTGCATTGTTATAAGTTTAAAAAAAATTCTAGCTTCCGGTGTGAATGTAGTTCCAGAAACATAAGAAAGTGTGCATTTTCATTTATTTTCTGTCGTCATTTTTAGCCACGGTTTCGTGTACGCGTTTAATGATATTTAATTTATTTTACGTTCATTTGTAGTAGCGTGAATTCCGGTCTTGTGGGTGAATTTTAAACGTTAGACTTACATAGAGTAAAGATTCACGGGGCGCTTCGTCATACACAGAGGAAGGTACTATGTAATATCGAATATCTTCAATCCATATTTACTTATATAGGTACGTAGATAGCTAGTGAGTGCACTAGACACCACGTTTTCGCCAGCTGGTGCGTACGTTTCGGCTTGCAAATTTAGTTGTTACTGATCATCTCGCTTACAATATCTATTGGTGTGTGTTGTTTCTAGATCGTAGTGGTAATGTAATTGTATTGTGACAGGTTGGTGATCCCGGCTAGTCGCGTGTTTCGCTGGTGCCAGCTTCTTCGAAGGATCAACAATTCATCCCATCTGTGAACTCTCGTCCAGTGGGGCGCTACCATTTTATATGACTTTAGCAAGATATAAAGGTGAGTCGGCTTTTTATTCTTACATGAGATTTTCTTTTCTTTTGTATAACTGTTCAACACTACATAGCCACATGATTAAAAGTCTCCAGTTTAATTTCAATAAAGATACTGACATTGCTAATGTCCAAATGCAATTCAATTACACCACCTATAAATTATGTATCATTTTTACATAATATTCTGCGCTTAGATCTTTTTATGCAGTATCTTTGATTTTATTTAAAGTGCTCATTCTTTATGAAACATTGTTCTATTATGATGGGTTTCACATATAGAATTTGTTACACTAACAAGAGTACTTCAAATTTGTAATAAAACTACTTTTTAGACTTGTTACATTCTATTTTAATTTTTTCTTTATTTAACTACTTAACAAAATACACCATAGTATACTCTGAATAAAATAAATTTTTTCAATAAAGAATATTAAAAAAAATCGTCTGCATTGTATATAAAGCAGGAACTTAAATAGATCAAGATTTATATTTTAATTTTTTAGAAAAATTTACTAAAAGTTGCATAACCAGTATAGCAAATTGTATTAATTATTGTAAAAATTAACATTGACCTACTGCCTTCGTATCTTTCATATAGCGGCATATAGGCATATAGCAGTAGCAAATACATAATCCTTGCTGCATTTACTCACATGTATTATATTTCAAAATCTTAGAGATTTAAACAGAATTTTTACTTAAACTTTTATGTATTGTCATGTGATGTTTGAATAAATATTTACACTGAATATTTTATTTTAGATTCCCTTACTAGATCTATGCAAAGTTGCGAAAATATACTAATCAATAATTGAAATGAATAAACTTAATAAAAATTGATGATAGGTTCAAACCATTAGCCGATTTTAGGCCATTTGCCGATAAGCAAGTTATTTTGAGTCCCTTGGGCCTGTAATTTACGCATGCTGTGCAGTTTTTTATTCTACATTTCATGACAATATGTGATTAGTGATAAATTTCATTAATGAAACAAGTACTTCAAAACGTCATTACATTCTACAGTTACAAATAAATTTAAATTGTTATGTCATTTTATAATTGTATCTCTCAATGATATAATGATGAATCTTTTATTACTTTTATATATTAATTTCCTCATTTCATTACTTTACTGAAACATTGCACTGCTTAAGCTCCAAAGTAAAACTTGTGCCAGATAATGTTTGTATTATTCGCATTTTAAAGAATTATGTTGGAAAAATACTTTTACTACTAACTGGTAAGCTCTTGTTGCCTATATTTTTAACAACTTTTATGTCTTCTGAAACTTGTGGTAAGCACTAAACTCCTGATTGTTAATCTCTATTGGATACTACTGGATGCGGCAGTCTCTTTGGCTTTGCAGCCTTTCACTGATCTACAAATTTCTATTATCTTAGGGACGAGTACAGTAGTCGCTCAAGGCTCCCTGCCGTATGTATTTCTTTGGTGAATGTTTCCCCAGGGTTGGATACATAAATCAACCTAGATGTGATGTTGGGTTATATAAAAAAAAATCATGAGACTACAAATTCATATTTGTAAGACGGAATCGCTTTTTTGAAGTATTACTAGTGGTTTCTGTAGATCTTATTGAGTTCGACTCGATTTGGCGTTAGTTTTTATTACTGATTATATTAAACTATGGTAAAGTCTTTGACACTTCCCTATTAAAGAAGGTCAGGTGGAGACCCAATGCGTGATCAATGCACTTAATATTTCAAATCATCGTTAATTTGAAAACAAAATAAAACGGCATAAAATGTATAAAATACTTTTATTTAAATACGGGTGGTATTCGCGTAAATACAAGAAACCATTATATACAGCTACATTTTATTAACTTCTTCTCCGCGTTTTCTGTTTGATGCAAATGTAGATTATTGGAGAATAAAGATAGCCTAGAACACAATGAAATTCCAATATTGTATCGGATTCCCACGACTCTTTAATTTTTTTGCACGGCTACCTATTACTAAGTTTGCGATATCTTTTACGTACGTTGCGTAAAACTGATATTTTGAAAAACTTATAAAAAATCTTGGAACATCACTCCCAGCGGGGGATATAGACACAGTGCTGTAATATGTTAAATACTACCATACTCTTACCATTTCGGGGGTTGAAACCGCGACTGGATTAACCGATGCCGATTGTACAACATCTGTGCCAATGCGATCGGCAATCAAAATGACGACGCCATTTGAGTTACGAATATCGTCACAGTATAAATATCGATTGGGCCCACCGTCGAGAGTTCAGGCGTTAGTTTATCGCGTTGTTTGCGGACTTGTATCTTAATTGCCCGCCTAGTAGCTGCTTAATTATATCTTCTATTGAGTTATGTGCTCTGTTATGATCTTGTGAGAGCGTGATGGCTGTATTCTTTTATGGAGGACGTGGCAAGTAAGCGTCTAGATTGTATTTTGTGTGGGAGGTGTAGGGTAGTTAGTCCTAAACCAACGCGACTTTAGAAAGATCTATTAATCTTCCCTTAAATATTGCCGTCTTATTGCAGCTATCCTACAATGTCAAGTCTAGCAGAAATGGCATTTCTTCTTCCTTTTTTTTGATTTAAAAAAAAAATATTGCTCATACGTTAAAAAATGACGTTTTACATAATTCACGTGAACAAACACCCAGATCCAGAAGCAGTTGTCTGTGAATCACACAAATAGTTGTTTAGTTGGAGGAATCATACCTACTATACCCGGCGCTGAAGCCTTTTTTTTTTGTATCGGGGGTAATCTTCAAAAGATACCCTGTCAAAAACCTACTAAAACCCCCTCGGTGGCTAACTTCTGTACGTTTGGAGGGACCCCGGGATCTCCCACGGAACTCATCGGAGTCCATTGGTACTGCGCGTGAGCACGCCTCATAGAAGGATATACCATCTCCAATTTCTTCCCCATCTTGCAGCAGCTCGAGACCACTTTGCTGCCAATCCGTGTCCCCTTTTAGTCGCCTTTTACGACAGGCGGGAGATAACTTACTACTGTTCTATGAGCCCGCGACTAAGGGCTGACCCGGCGCCGAAGACTAGGCTTGTCGCAGTTGACAAGGTATCGGCTTCGGAGTCATCAAGCGTCTGATGACTTCAGAGGAGAGCTCTTTAGAGCGGTACACGACTTGGAACTTGCAAGAAATATTGGATTACTCTTATCTTAGTGGACGGGGCAACGGTCGTGGTACCAGCTTTGTTGTTGTGTACGAGGTGATTGTGTACAAACAGGCCAAACGCACTTTTCCCATCCTCTATACATTACGTATAATCGATGCAAATCGTAGCGTGCACTTATTAACCATTTACTGGTTTTACTCGTAAAATATCATTTTCAGACAGTTATTATTATTTGTGTTGTGTACCTTGAAATAGCTACGTTAAGGGCTTAGTCCATCATGCTTATATATGAGATGTGAGAGACATATTTACATCTATACGTTACAGAGATCCCTCACATCTCAGATATAACCATTCCGGACACTTTAATGTTTTCGCTATTCCTCGTAATCTGATTTGACCATAGACGCCCTAAAAAAATTTCCCCTATAGTTTAAGTTTTCTACAAATTTTAATGGTTAAGCAGCTTTAGTTCATGGACTCTGTTTTTAAGACCCACGAAATGTCGCATCCAATAAGTGCCTGCGAAACAACACCAACATTGGATAGCTTATTGGTTCCGTCGTTAAGGTAGTTATAATAAAATCTTAGGCAGACCGCAGGCCGAGTTTGTCCCAGCGTATTACAGATTCGAGCGTATTGAGGTTAAGAGATAATTCAATCGGGAAGCGGGTGGTGTTACGCCCTCTCGGAATACGGTAGCGGCAGGGTGGGGGGGGGGGGGTTGTGTCGTGAACACGGCGTGGTCGTGACCTGCGCGTTACGTCGTCGGCGGGCGATCGTTACACCCTCGTCGGGTGAGCAACAGGATGCTAGCACTCGACGCTCTTCGCTAACTAAACTTATATCGATTGGACGACGATAGGCGTGTGAATATGCCAATATAGGACTACTCTCATCCGAAGAATTTATGGGCGCCCGAGCGACTTCGAAACTCGTATGCGAACTCTCGACTGAACCGTGCTCGCGTTTTGGGCATTGATTTAGTCGTATGAATGAGCTGTTTACGTTTGGGATGTAATACTCGATTCCTTCAGCCGTATATTGTATATAGCATTGAGAGTTACACCTCAAAATCTCCAATAAAATGTCATTTAGAGACCTATGAAATTTTGGCACGAAGGCATTGTAGCATCTGAAACGGTTTTTAGAAGGTGGACAAAGTTGCTGCTAATTTTGAGATTATTAGACTATTTTATATCATTGATTACTATTTTATATTTATTAACCTCCTTTTGGTTTATTTACGTGCACAGCCCTAGTAGCAGTAAAAATCTATCTCTATAATAATAATAATCGTTTCGCGTTATTTACTTCACCGTATTCAGCCACCAAAACCAGCAACGTCTCCCGGTACAGGAGTTGGAGCTTACTTTGTTCGAGTATTGTCAATATTAAAGTCTGTCTCTCAGTACTATCGCTCTGTATTAATTTTATAATTGATTTTTAGGAGTGATCTAAGTAATAACCTTCTTTTTTGCTTTTACAGTCTCAAAGTATTCGGAACAATTTGAAAGGCATTCGGTACAAGTTTCGCCTTCTTTTGTCGTTCCTGTACAGTCCAATCCATGGCAATCCTTGTTCTTCTTTCTCCTGCTCTTACTCCGCCTAGTCGGGGTCGGAACAAAATATTAATCATGTTTTTAATTTAACACGTTAGGTTTTTTTTACAACCTACCGACTGCCTGACTCTTTGTGAACGAACACCCAGATCCGGAATGATTATCTGTTGGTCGCACTAATTCTTGTCCCGTGTAGGAATTGACTCTACGACCCTCGCCCGTAAATTGTTAGCAAATGAGCCATCGAGTCATTCGTTGAACGTCTCCTGTAAAGCTGCCAGCTAGGGTTGTATCGCTCGCTTCATGGGTTCGATAATGTACATAATGTTATTTGTCTTGTGGTCATGTGCAATTTGTTTGTTAAATATAAACAGTTTTTTTTAGTACTAAACTTGCCAATCCTTCTCAATTCTTGCTGTCCGTTACTATATTGCTAAGATTTTTGTTATTGTGGTATTTGCGATTGTATGAGGACAAACACTCGCATGACGGGTACGGTTATGTGCAATTTATATTGTGGATGGTAGAATATTATTTTAAAACGTTCTAGAGTAAACCGTTACCGTTAAATAAAACTGGACAGAGTGACAGACCGATGAACGCTGGTATAGCATTCGAAACGTCGTGAATTGAATCGAAATAAAACGCGATGAAAGCGGTGAAATAGTTGTACGTTCACATTTTAGCCATTTATAGTACGTAGTCAATACTAGTAATCAATATGCTATCGTTGTTTGAACATTTGAACCTGAATGCCTGCAGTTTTGGAGCTAATTTTGCCCTGTAAAAGTCTATTTCTGAAAGGGGTGCGTCGCTTAAAGGCTGGCATCATATACTTTTTGATATTACGGCGGTAGTAGGACAGTACCGCGTGTTTGTTGGCGTATGCTCCCCTATACCCGGACCCGCGCCCCTTTTCTGATAGGGCTGAAGGGTGAGGGGAATGGGTGAAGAAGGGGAGGTATAGCCGCGCCGTCTACGATCGATCGCCGGTGCGGCCGTGGAGTGGGGAGAGGTGTTCCCTCTGCGCATTAGGGTTGCCAAAATTTCTTCTGCTTATTGTAGCGATTTTTATGATAAACTATCAAAATATGGTACAAAAGTAAGGTTGTATATATATGTCCTATATATGTCCCCCTACTCCTCTGTACAGAGTGCATTAGTGCACAGTCCACCACGCGATCCCACTGCGGATTGCCGGACTTCACGTATTTTTTTTTATTATTTCGAAAATATGCAGGTTTTCGCAAGCCTTACAGAATGATTCATATACATCTTCAGTAGAATATAATAAACCCGAAATATAGTACAATACTGATAGTAATATAATAGTACTAAAGTAGAGTACAGTTGGTAACCCTATCGCGCATTGCGCGTATCTCGACGCGACGGGATAGCGTTGCCTTTATCTATGATATCGCGGCGATAATTGTGGCAGCGCGGATGGCCTGATGATTTTTTTAATGGCTCCCCGTTTTCCAATCCGTTTGCTGGCTCCAATTGGTTTTTACCGTTAGAAGGTTTACGTTTGTCCCTAATTCGGATTCGGAGCATTTGAGTGGTTCCCGTGCCACTGAGTTTGCCAGGTGCCCCAATAAATACATATTATATTTAATAAACACCCAGACTCTAGAAAAAAACCATGTTAAAAACAATATTTATCCAGCGGTAAGGATCAAACCCAGACCCTCTAACGCAAGAGACGGTTCCGCTGTCCACGCCAATCGGGTTGTCAATTTTTTTTAAACGTAGCCGTTTTGTAGGACGTTTTACATACATAATTTTTACGTGGACAAACACCCAGATGCGAAACAACTATCCGTGGGTCACACAAACAGTTGTCTCGTGTGGGGATCGAAGCCACGACCCCAGATGCCGAAGCCAATACTTTGGCAACTGCGCCACGGAGTCATCTGTATTAGATACGCTATTTTTACGCTATTGGGCCTGAGTTCTACGCTAGGCCTCCTCATCCGCACCACAACACGCCTTTGTGTGTGCGTTCTCTATTGGCTGCTGCCACTGAAGTCTTTGCCTTCTACGCGCGTCGATTACGCAAGGTCCAAGTTGCAGCGCAATCTCCTCAGCATTGGCCGGGCGTCGCCCGAATCGCGTTATGTCAGAGGTGAACGCACTCGGGTCGGCCCGGGGACTCCCCCCCCCCCCCCCTCTTCCCTCGCCCCTCCCTTCCCCTCTCCCCGCGGTGTTACGTCGCCGGCGCCCGGAAGTGGCCAAGTTTGGGTGGCTAGGTGAGGTTACGAAAACATATTGGCTAGTGACGGCCCCGTGGATGATACGTCTGCACGAAAGCTGTAGAATATTGGCGAATGATGGCTCTCCCACTGAGTTCTGCACGCATCTCTAATTCATACCCTCACCTTTAACCCATAGATTAATATATGTGCTCCTTGGTTCCGGATGAATAGACGCAACACTTTCTCCATGCAATACCTGATTTGGTCTATAAATTTTCGTCTATTGTCCTTTGATATTCTTATTTAAAAAGCAGTCGGAGAGGGACGAATTTTCGACTTCATTCTATGTCCCACTTTATCGGTGATACATCCTTCAATGACTTATCGCCGAGCGGTATTATCCCTTCGATGATCTTTAGGCAAATTGTTCTTTTTTATGACAATAGTTAATTGCAAGCGAGTTGGCGGTTCACCACCTAATGTTAAGCGATTACTGCCGCCCATCGATATATACAACACCTGACAGGTAGCAGAGGCGTTGCCAACCGTTAAAGTGTGACGCTGACTTGCGGGAAACGTTAATATAAACACGAATCGTGGAAAATTCTCGGTTGTTTAATGAACAATGCTATAACAAGCCCACATTAGAGCGGTTTAACATTAAGGTTTTTTGTCTCAGTACCTTTGCAGTGTGCCAAAGGTTAGAAGATTTCAAACGCAATGTTTTCTTATATTTATTCGAATACTATATTGGTATTAAAAACAAGATTTTAAGCGACGAATCGCACACCGAATTTCATAAAGTCGGGAAATCAAATCTAACTTCGAAATAAAACTATAAAAAAAGCTTACCTAACAATGTGTACTATTCGCGTCGATACAAAAGACATTTCCAATACTAGCTGCTGCCCGCGACTACGTCTGCGTAGAATAGGCTGAAGATATATATAAGATATACAGATATACATAAAATATGTATATAAATTATAGCCTATGTGTTATTCTGCTATATTATTTTAAAGTTTCATTAAAATCCATTCAGTAGTATTTGCGTGAAAGGGGAACAAACATCCATCCATACATACAAACTCTGTTTCGCGTTTATAATGTTAGTAAGGGTTGTTTTCGAGTAATCATCCCTCTAAAATGTCAACTGATATAAATTTACTCTGCGACTATTTATCACTTTAGTACAAGAGATAAAGACACTTGTACTGTCTCATTATGTTCCGCAGTTGTGACGTCGGACGAAAGTAAAAGTGGTCGCCACGTTCTAGAAGCGGTAAGGACACCTGTCCGGTTTTACGACAGATACAGCGTGTCCTGGTGATCTAGATAGATGGCCGGTACGCTCCACGTGAACACCGTACCTTTACTAGTCACCTTGCCTAAAGCATTTTTTTATGTAAGAAGATGGCTAGCGAGCTGGCCGTTCACCTGATGTTAAGTGAAAACCACCGCCCATGGACATTAACGTCATCAGTAGGGTTTCACATTCCAATAACGGCCTCGGTTACCTCACTCACCAGACGAAACGCTGTTCTTCTGTCAGGTTGTACTTCCCCGGACGGACCTGCCCATTCGTGCAACAGCGAAGACTGCTGTATGGGCCTACCACAATAACATTTTACGGACAAACTATCACTAGAAACTGATCGGTTAAATTCAGTAAGGCTTTGTCGCAGTATGCAGTCGCAGATGTTCCATAGGAGGGGCGGGGCACATACAAAATTTATTTAAAGTGAAAGTCAAAATTTCTTTTTCAATATAGCCTTAATTTAGGCTCTTATTGAACGACAAAAGAAACTAGCCTTCGTTCTAGACTTTCGAACTGCAACGGGCAAGTTTTAAACGTCTCCCCTGTGTTTGTTCTACAATGTCCTCATGATGAACGCGATAGAAATAACGTTGAAACAAACAGTTGCAGGATACGCAGTTGATACTCTTTGGACGTGCGTAGATATAGATAGATACGGGTGAATAGTATCCACTGTTGTGTTGACTGAATGCATTGCCCCTGATAACTCTAAGTTGTCCGGTTCAATGCACCGGGGACATTGAAACGCCAGCACTGCTGGATTATCCAAGTTGAATTTGAAATTTGCAAAAGATTTTCTTTTCTGTTTTCTTGTTATTGATGATACTACGCATGTATAATTTCAAGCATCTCAACAACACTATATAGTGTTCGTATGAACCGTGACTATAACAATATGAAAAATAGACCATACGACTATTGTTTCTTCCAAAGATACTGATACAATTTTCCCCTAAACAATATTGTGGATGATAGTTTATTCAAGATTAAGGCCCTCATCTCTTCATTACTGTCGGTACATGGCATTTGAAACTAACCGAATGTATTGTTGGTAGAAGATGTCTATTAAATAGGTGCAATTTCGTCAAGTAGATCATTCTAAACAAGCCTACAGATTCTATGATAATTTACGGCTGGTTTCAATATCTACAGATAGATTTAGTTACTGGAGATTGAATTTTGAGGTAAGTATTATGGAGCTAATGTAAAATATCTATGGCTAGCTAACCACATCAATCTGCTGATAGAATATTGCAAGTCGTAAGTTATCATCGAATATTTAGGCTTCTTAAGAATGATCTACATTGCGAAATTGCACCAACTTAATAGACATCTTCAGCAGACAATACATTCGTTAGTCTGCTGAGTGGTCACCGAGTGCAGTTTACAGGGCATCTACAATGTGTCCTCTCGAGCCGCTCCAGGGACGTAATCGCCTTTGCCCCACCGCGTACTTGTCCCCGTATAGTGGTGACGCGCGCGGTTGACTCATGTGGGAAAATTTTACGCAATTGCTCTGTATCGTTCGAAAATCGAGATGCACAATTGCATTCTTTCGATTTGAACCTGGGCCAAAATCGATGTAGGCGGTGTTATTTAATGTGACAACTTATGCACTTACACGAATCGCGAGTTTTTTTCTACTGATGCCATAATTGTTTTGGATCTTCGTGTTTATTATATTTTTAGGACAAATTTTTACGCAACATTCTCTAGTCCCAAACTTAAGCAACTTGTGCTATGGGCACTAGATAACTGTAAACTAAAAATACTTAAAGATACTTTACTTTTGTAAATAAATACTTATTATACTTATTATAAAACACAAACACTGGAAAAATAATGTTCATCACACAATACTTTCCAGCAGCGGGGATCGAACCCAACACCCATGGCGCAAGAAGCAGTTTCGGTCGGAGCGTGAAATATACCTACTGGATACTACAATTTATTTATTCATTAGTCGTCCAACAGCATTACAGATTTCATAAGTTGTGCTTATCATTTTATAGAAAATGTGAGCCAATTACGGATTACAAAAACAAGTAATACACTTCGGTTTACATTAGTGCTTTTATAACGAATAGTTGAGGTGAATAGAATAGAATAAATCATAACGGAACGAAAGTATAAAATAGAGTATCTTTACGAAATTGAGACTAATAGAGCTTGATAGAAGAAGATGATAAACAGAGAAGGGCAAAGGTGATCTGTACTTCGCCGTTGCAGAAGGAAGGCTGTGAATGTTGATGATAAATATAAAGTGTAAAACTTCCATATAATGTATGTAAATATATTCCATTGTATTTTCATCATTTGACCTCTAAACAATATTATGAAGATTGCTCTTGATGATAGTGAATGTGTTCTATAGAGATTCCAATCATTTCGTAACGTCAATACACTTGATGAACGACCTGTTCTGACAATTGTGAATGTAACCATTTTCATGGTAATGATATGTTATGAAATAGGATGCTGTAAAGCGTCGGAAACGTCGGGATATTAAGAAATAAACGTTAAACTTTTTGGAGGTGCACATAAATTTTGTGCGTTTGTTTGTGTGTATCTTTGAAACTTTTTTCGGTGAAATTGGCTTAGCTATGACTTTTCTCCATCCTTCGGGCAGCATTAGAATTTGGAGTTGAATAATGATTGTTCAGGCTTCTTCAGCTATCAACAGACCAGAACAAGTGGCAGTCCGAGGGGGCGATATCTGGTGTCAACATTAACAATAGGTTACATAGAATATTCCACTGTCTTATCTAACCAGAGCATCCGCTCTGGTTAGATTCCGCCTTGATTATTTCATAGCTCTGTGCCTTTTAAAATTAGTTTATCACTTACCCCGCGTTGTTGTTACCACAATTTTTAGACGTCGTTTTACTATGCACCAATGTGTGCCCTGCTTTCTGCGTCATTGGGTCAAGCGTGACAATAGACACGATGGCGTATTTGTTTGCGTCATTCGTCACAGACCGTAGCATCGATGCACACACACTCACACGCGGAGAACATAACGTCCACGCATGATGGAGTCAGGATGAACAAACGTCAAATATGTTGACCGGGTATACCCAGTGTCTCATTGGCCGGACTGTCGCCACTCTTTATTATATTCTATCGTCATCATCATTTCAGCCTGTAAGTCCATTGCCGAACACAGACTGCCACGAAGCACGATCCTTACCCACCTGCATCCATCCACCTCCCGTAATATACTCCATCAAATCTAATACAATCTAGTTTTGAAATTGTTTATCTGGAATTTTAAGTGTCGATTTTATGATGATGCACACGGCGGTACCGATAGTAATGCGAGGAAACTTGCAATTAAATAACAAATCATTAATCTCCTCTGTTCTCCGTGCAGAGAGGCTGGAGTGTATAAACAATTTTTCCAATGGCGTTGAATGAAATAACATTGACACCGTCCTCCTACTCCAAGGCAACCGGACGTTGATATTACTACAAAGCGTCGATCGATGCCAACTGTCAATGGACGGATGTACAAGTGTAGTGCGGCGCTAATTTTTATTTCTATTCGTGTATTAATCATGAATCCACGTTTCGTCGTGCTCGAGCACCGTATCTTGACCCCGTCCTTCGATGGCACTAAGGCAGGGCGATATATATATATATATAATTCTTCTGTGCGTTTACATGTGACTGAACTCCTAAACGGCTGGACCGATTTGAATGAAATTTGTGTGTTCAGGTGGAAACTAGAACGGTTCACAGTGACAATTCGGTCCACAGCAAAGTTTTTTTTTTTATCAATAAGTTGTCAGATTTAAGTGTATGTAGCATGACGTTTGTCGCGTCAGCTTGTCTCTAAACATTAGTTCTCAAAGGCGTTTCGCCGGTACGTAGTAACTTCCGTAATTCATCTTCATACTCAATAATAAAATACACAATCTCAAAGCTTGTTTTCGGCGCGAAAAGTAGACATGAAGAATAAAGAATGTATATGATGACACATATTGACAATTTGTTGAAATGAAGTAGTAGTGCGAAGTAGAATAAAAAACGTTAGTCCTATATATATATATATAATTGTTTATTATAATTGTTGTATATTATAATTGTTTTCATTGATAAAAATAATTATTAATATAATATTATAGTATTATAGTTCTGTGAGTGATCAAATTTACGGTGCGGAATTTTATTATACGTCGATTGCAATCCGTGTAACATTGCCAAGGAGTATAATACGGTTTTAGACTTATTCGTTCAAAAGTATTCATTCACCATTAAACTACGTTTTTCGCATTGTTACTCGCGTCGCAATAGAATCCCGGAAAGCGGCTGGCTTTGCGGGGCGATCGATGGCGTTGGCACATGCGTACCTATTGCGGTCCGCCCACACTCCCACAACCCCACCCCCACGTCTCACGCGTCCCCCTTTCCCGCCCGCCGCCTTTCCCCCCCCCGCCCAGGCCTCACCGTTATGTTAGGCCTTCCCGGACTCGAAACGATTTTGTTTTTTAATATTTTTCAGGACATGTACTACACAACGTTTTCTAGTCCCAAACTATGCAAAGCTTATACTTGTTATGGGAACTTGCCAGCTGCTTAAGATAATTTTGTTTTGTTAATAAATAGATAATTAATTTACTAACAGCCAGACACTAGAAAAACGCTGTGTCAGTATTTGGGATCGTACCCCACTAGAGACAGTTACGCTATCCATAATGCTAATCTATTTGTTGCAGTTGCGACACCATATGACGCATTGTACCCGTCACAGACTACCCCCCTCTCTAATATCGTAATAGTACTTCGCAATGGTCGTGGCCTTCGTAATCAATTTTTTTTTTTCAGCTGCTTGCCTGACGAAAAAAGTCCCGGCTGATATGGCAAAAGATAATTAAATATATATTTTTTTTGTTAGTACTCCCGAAATGTATATATCATAGTTTTTAGGGTTCCGTACTCCGCTGTCTGTCCTTCTGTCACCAGGTTGTATATGCTCATGCACCCTCGATAGTCGGACAGAATAAAATAAAAATTAAGTGGGACTCCTCATATAAAAGACATGATTTTTTTGCCGTTTTTATAGAAGATTGACGACTTACTCGCACTTGGCCGGTTTTTTAACTGTATGTACTTTCTATCTACGCGAACTCAGTGAGGAGAGAACAGACGAGTAAAAGAAATGGTACTTTTTAATTGGATTGGTCATTAATTGTCGCTTTGAGAGCGGATTGCTTATCTGACGGGCAGTGTAGTTTATAATCGTTTAATACAATGTTACCTCACATGCTCAGACATTATTGGCTCTACTGAGATAGGTGCCGATTACAGTGAATTGTTTTCTATTAAACGAAATGTCATCATTTTAGTGGATCGATTAGTTGACCATTATTTGAAGAAAACTTATAATTATAAGCTATTGCGCATTGTACATGACCGCGCATTTATAAATTAATATTTCTCAACATATTTTTACACATCTTTTCCCAAAGTATTAATATTTTAAACTATTACTAATCAATAGTATACAAGTTTTTCTAGGCTATTGATATACGTACTTAAACATACTACTTATGTAAATTAACACAGATCACATATATGCAAACACCCAGACACTGTTAACCGTTGTTAATCACACATACAGCGTGTCGTTACCATCGCGACAATAAATAAACACACATATAGGGGATAACTTTTTAAAGTTGTATTAAACATTTAAATTCTTCAAACATCAATATTTACAGAGTTATTAAATTTTCCAAAACAAAGAATTTTAGAACACCATTACCTATAAAAGAGTAACATAAATTTCATTTTTAAAGGTCACAAAGCATATGAATGGGTTGAATGAATTTAAAAGAGACAAAACATTCTGTTAGAAGGAGAGGCTTGTAATGCGACGCTGTGGCGCGAGTTGTATAGGATGTTACAAATTTTGTTTCTTTTTTACTTAATTAGTTTCTTTGTAAAGTAATTTTTTTTAATTATGGATTTTTTTTTAATTTTAATATTATTTTATGATTATTGGCAAGTATCCTTAGACGTGTGTTCATTTATTGTCTTGATGGTAACGACACGCTGTATATTTTCCATTAGTAGGGATCGAATCCATGCCCCTTGGCTAACAGGCTTACTTCCCGATACACCAATTTGGTCGTCACCTCGTGAATATTGAAGGAAGGATGAAGTCAGGTGTAAACAAACTCATCAGTCCAGCTTTTACCCCCCCCCCCCCCCTGCTTTACGGGATAAGAAATATCGTTTGTTAATCAAATCTTTAAGCCGCATCTGTTCCAAATTTTAATCAAAAACTTACACAGGGTGTAGCGAGAAGCAAATAATCACTATTGATGTTATAATGTTAATTTGTCTTTTCATAAGTTACTAAAACGTATATGAATGAAAAGATAAGTTGTGGCGTCGTGTGCGCATTACGGAAAAGCTACCGGATGATAGATTTCAATTTTTTTTTTTTTTTTAATTTCATTTCTAAAACAATTTTGGTACGGAACCCTAAAGATATTGTGATATTTTCATTTCATCTAAAGTCATTTTTAGAAACAACGACCTTTATAAGTCTGTTCTCTAAGTTTCTCGCCGTGGAGAGATGAGGGTCAAGCAGTCTATTTTTTAACTTTATGAGCAACGCAAACGACGTCGTTAGTATCGGCTAGTTACTAATAAGAAGATTAAATGAATTAAGGGTAGCGTTCTCGGATTTTTTTTACCATCCGATCGACATTGACCCGTTTATCACGGCGGTAAGCTCGTTAACCGAAGGTGCCTGCTGAGGCTTGCGGTGTCTGGGACTTTATAGCTATTCTATGTTCATGTTCTAGATTCTAGATTAACTTATTTTTATTGGCTGAAAGTATAATGAATATGGAACATTCTATGTTTTGACATTTGAATCTCTTTTGAGAAACCCTTGCGTGTATGTATTCATATATACATTTAACTTCGTATGTTTTAGTAACTATTTCTGTGTCTTTGTGTATCATGTCTATATCGCATGTGTACAATATACATTACAATAATGTAAATATACTGTCAAATATTTTCTTTTACTTGTAGTCATACTGTATACAAATTTTTATGAGATTGTTTTCTGACTCCTTCAGCAAGGGCTCAGGATCATGACCAAAAACCGTCTTAATTTATTAGTTATTACGGCATCTTTGAGTTGGTTGTGAAACTCATGTTATTGGATTACCGTTGCACACTCTTCGATCATTTCGAAGCTTGGTAGGTAACACTCTGTTCGTGTGGCGTATAGCTATAGCGGAGGTGTTAATTCCAGACGTTTCTGCTAATTGCCTAACACGTCTAGCTTGATGCCGGTGACGCGTCGCGATCAAATAACCTGTGACAGTACAGGGGCCAGGATATATGTTGATTTTATATAGTGTGAATCATGCTATAGGAAATGTCAAATAGTTTCCTAATTTTCCATCATGGTCCTACAAAGTATCACAAATATAACCGACACTTGATATTGCGAGATATTGTAGAATAACTTTAGCCAATTTCTTAATGAAAGGTTAAGAATAATCTTTCAGCGTCGAAATGCAAATTCATTTATACACACAGATTAACACCACGATTCAGATAGTTTGCTATTTAATTAATATTTATTAATACTGTAGATATGCTTTTTATTTTAACAATTTATATTTTATGAAAAATAATAACTTACAAATTATTATCTTGTGTGGCAGTTTCGTGTTTCTAATTCCTATGCATGTAATTTTAAGCCGATACTAAAATTTTTATTGCAAGCATTTGTTTGAATGAAAACTCCATTCACAAAAGTACAGTCATCTGCGTAACCGGTAATTGAAGGGAGGAAAACGAGATACGTTTGTGTCGCATCACTAGCTTCCTATTAATTCGCGCGCAGCCGCAACGGGTGACCTTGACTCTTGCGACGGTTTCACGGCATAAATGATGTTGCAATGCTGTCGCAAGTGGCACTGATGTGACGTAGGGCTGCCCCAGCAGTACTGTC